CAATCTTCCATTGAATATGAAGTTGGGCTGTGAGTTTTTCATATTTTGCCTTTACTATGTTGAGGTAATTCCTTTCTATTTCTAGTTTATGTACTGTTTTTATTAACAAAGGGCATTGAATTTTGTCAAATTCTTACATGTTTTTTTTTGTATGACAATAATATAGCCAAACTGGCTCTCTTCTAGTTACAATTTGCATGCAGTTTTTCCATCATTTTACTTTTAACCTTTCAGTATCCTTATATCTGCATCTCTTGTAGTCTGCATATAGATGAACTCCTTTTTTGTTGTAGTTTTTGTTGTACCAGGAATTGATTGTGCATGCTAAGTGTGCACTCTATCACTGAGCTACGTTCCCAGCCCAGATCAACTTTTTTAAGCATCTGCCAATCTGTTTTTCAAATCAGAGAGTTTAGTCCACTTGCATTTAATGTTATTAATAATAAAGGATTTACTTCTACCATTCCATTATACGTCTTCTATATATCTACGTATGTACATACATATATATATTTTTTCTTTTTCTTCTTTTTTTTTTTGGTACCAAGGATTAAACCTAGGGAACTTAACCACTAGCCACATCCCTAGCCCATTTTATGTTTTCTTTGCTTTTCTTTCTTTTTTTTGATACCAGGGATTGAACTCAGGGTTACTTGACTCCTGAGCCACATCCCTAGCCCTATTTTGTGTTTGGTTTTTTTTTTTTAGAGACAAGGTCTCACTGAGTTGTTTAGCACTTCACTGTTGCTGAAGCTGGCTTTGAACTCATGATCCTCCTGCCTCAGCCTCCCAAGCAGCTGGGATTACAGGTGTGCCTCTGTCCAGCTTCTCCTCCTTTATTCTTGAAGGATTGGTTTGCTAGGTAATAGAATTATTGGTTGACATTTTTTTTTTCACCAGAATTTTAGATATGTCACACTAACACTTATTGTCCTCCATGGTTTCTGAGAAATCAACTATTATTAGTCTTATTTAGAATCCCTGCGCATAACAAGTAGCTTCCCTCTAGCTGCTTTAAAAATTCTTTGTCTTGAGTAACTTAGCAACAGCCTTGGCTAAGTAACTTAGCAATGTCTTAGGCATAACTTAACTTGGACTCAGTTACTTAGCAATATCCTAGGCAACTTAGTGAGACCCTAGGTTGGTCCTCAGCACCACATAAATAAATAGAATAAAGCTATTGTGTCCAACTACAATAAAAAAAATATTTAAAAAAGATCCTTTGATAAGGTCTCTGGCCTTGAGCAGAAGCTTCACAGAAGTGTCTACATTTCTAAGATAAGTTAACAGCTGGAAGGGGGAGGAAAGAAAGGGGAGAAGAAGCTCTCCCTTCTCAGATGTTGTCCTTGAAGAGTTAACTTGCCCAAAACAGTGAGAGAAAAAGCTGCTTTTATGTGAACTTCTGCAGACTGTGAACTTCTGAGCCCCTCCCCTCACACACTGGGCATAAAGTTCTGAAACTACCTGAACTTGGGATTCAGTGGATTAGTTGATTACAGCAAAAACTGTATCTTCTGAACCTGGCTGCAGCCAAATAAAACTGTTTCCTGCTATCTTCAGGGACTTGCCTCATCTGTCCTCTACAATCTAGACTTGAGTTCCTAAAAAGTTGGTTCAGGCAGTTTCTGAAAACTCAAATACCTGATTTTTTGTTTATTTGTTTTTGGGGTGGGGGGGCGGGGGGGAGTTGAGGGGGATTGAACTCAAAGGCACTCAATCACTGAGCCACATTCCCAGTCCCATTTTGTATTTTATTTAGAGACAGGGTCTCATTGAGTTGCTTAGCGCCTCACTTTTGATGAGACTGCCTTTCAATTTGCAATCCTTCTGCCTCCACCTCCCAAGACACTGGGATTACAGGCACATGCAGCTGCACCCAGCTCAATTCTTGTTTCTGTGAAGGGATGAATCCATGAAGCTTCCTAGTCCACTTTCTTCTGTGACATCATATCCTTCTTGTATATTATTTTTATAAATACTTTATCACTCAAAATGAAGAACTTGATGTTATTTGAATTGTATCAACTTCAACAATTTGAGGTAAAGTGCTTTTCTGGACTGAGAATTCCTAACATCAAGGTCTGATTTCATTGTAACAGTTTCTCTTTGAATTTATATCTCTCTTCCTACAGTTTACCATAATTAGCAAGAAGAACCCAGAATGTACCTTCAACATTTTGCTTAGAAATGGACAAATTCTGTTTTCCACCCTACTGTGGGATACAATTCCACACTAAACTTTCTGCAACTCCAGCTTCCAATAACCTGTTTTTCATTTCTTTCTAAGCTCTCACCAGCAACATCCTTAACATTCAGATTTCTTCTAATGGTTCACTGAAGCCAAAATTGGCCTTTTCTGTTATTCTTCTAGCCTCTGCCAACTGCCCAATTCCAAAGCCAATTCCACATTTTTAGATTTTTTTTTTTTTTTTTTTGTACCAGGGATGGAACCCAGAGACACTTAACCACTAAGCAAGATCCTAGGCCTTTTTATATTTTATTTAGAGATAAGGACTTGCAAAGTTGCTGAGCCTGGCATTGAACTCACAATCCAACTGCCTCAGCCTCCTGAGCTGCTGGTATTACAGACCTGCACCACTGAACCTGGCATGTTTTTGGAATTTGTTACAGCAGTATCTCATTCTCTAATCTCTATCAGTTTTCTTTTCCTACAATAACATATTACCCTTGGGTTGGGGGGTGCAGCTCAATGTTAGAGCACTTGCCTAGCATGCACAAGGTCCTGGGTTCAATCCCTAACAATATAAACACACAAATTAACACAACCTTAGTGGCTTAGAATAATAAAAATTTTTATCATACCACAGTTCTGTAGGCCAGAAGTTCAATATGGGTTTCATTGGGCTAAAATCAACACATTAGCAGGGATGCAATCCTTTCTGGAGGTGGTTGGGGAGAATTTGCTCATTGAGGTTATTGGCAGAATTCAATTCCTAGTGATTGTAGGAGAACTTAGTTTCCTTTTTTTTTTTTTTTTTTTTGCTATCACTTGAGGGTCATTTCTTGCTTGTAGAGACCACCTGAATTCCTTGGATCCTTGGCCAGCTGTGGAGGATCGCATCCCTTTCATACTTTGAGTCTGACCAACTTCTGCCCTCCTCTTTTGCTTTTTCAGGCTCATGTGATTACATTGGGACCACCAAAATAACCCATAATGATCTCTCTAAAGTCCTTTTCCCTAACTTCATCTGCAAAGTACTGTAATATATTCAGAGATTCCAGGGATTAGGATATGGACATCACAGAGGGGCCATCATTCTGCCCATGGTACCCTCTCTAGGAGACACCAATTTTTGTTCCTCTTCAGACCCCTCCTTCCTGCTTTCCAGAGCACCTTCTTTCCCTTGAACTCCTGATCACCTTAAAGCTCCTTTAACAAGTTCTATCTCCCCACTAAGCACTTGTACGTGCTTGTCCTTCTCAGTGGAGCTCTCTTCCCTTCTTCTGGTCATTCTACTCATCCTTCAGGTCCCAACAGTCAGCCTCTGCACCACCCCAGCTGAGCAGCATACCTTGCTTCAGAATAATTGCCTTTTCATGTCTATTTCACCAGCACTAGACCTTTATTTGCAAGAAGGTAAGGGAGGAACCAGGTCTGCTATGCACATTAGTATATACATCCACAATAAAGGGTCAGCAAATAGGAGGTGCTCATTAAACCTTGTAGAGTGCCAAAGTGGATCTCACAACAGGCAGATGAAACTTGGCCTTCAACATCTTACTTTCGGCCTTGAGAAAGGCCCCAGTAGTGTGTCTGGGGGCAAATATTTTTGGAAAACTGGCAAAATTAAGATAATATAATTGCATTAATTCAGGACCTCTGTCCTTTCTGCTCAGACTTGTCTCCAGCCTCAAATGTGTCGGGTGGGGAATATCAGAGAGACTATGGCATTTGGGAATCTATCCAAGGGGAAGGTGGGTTAGGAATTATTCCAGGTTGGGTTCCCTGGAAAGCTAGCTCTAAGAGGAAGATTAGAGTCCAAGATACTTACTAGAGAAATCAATTGGGATCAGTACCTGAGGAAGGAATAGGGTTGGGCAGAGGAAGAAAGCTAGCTGGGAGAGGCTCTCCATGGCTGAGGCAGACTTGTCTTCTGGTTGATTTCCCAGTGTCTGGCAACAGCCAGCCTTTTTTGAAGGGGACTTAAGTGGCACATCTCTGTCTACCATAAGGAAACACTTGGTTTGAGTTAACAGGGACATATTTATGTGAATTGTTCCACTCCTGTGTAAAGTTAGCTTATTATTCCTCTTCTGGAATGTAGCCTGGAAGAACTCCTACCGGGGTGAGAGCTCCTGACAGGACAGAAGTACAAAGTCTTACTGCATTAAGAACGTGCCCCACAGCACCCAGCACTAGAAAAATCAGGGAGGGAAAACAAGGTTTGAAATATGTACAGGTGGAAGTCCACCTATGGGAAATTCTTCCAAATCTTACAGTTTCTGTATGAAAAATGGATGTTTCCAAATTTGGCAGCAATACTTACACCACTGGTAATAGCTTAGGAAGTAAAATAACTTTCCTAAGCTATCAATAATTAAAACTCAAACTTCAATCAACTATGTTAGAAGGAAGGCTGAATTATCTTTCCCTTTTCTATTTAAAAATTTCTCCCCCTGAATTACAAAATCCTTATTGTTTATAGAAGCCATCAAAGTAAGAAGCCAGAAAATGGAGGGAGAAATTATAGGAATGTGTCATATAATAATATGTATCACAAAAGATATATTTACAGATCACTATTGTAATATTTATCAACCTAAAACCATTTGCGGGGGGAGAGGGTACCAGGGATTAAACTCAGGGGCACTCAACCACTAACCCACATCCCCGGCCCTATTTTGTATTTTATTTAGAGACAGGGTCTCACTGAGTTGCTTAGTGCCTCACTTTGGCTGAGGCTGGTTTTGAATTTGCAATCCTCCTGCCTTAGCCTCCAGAGCCACTGGAATTACAGGTGTGCGCCACCATGCCCAGTCTAAAACCATTTTTAATGATTGATTGATTTATTTATTTTTTCAGTGCTGGTGATTGAACCCAGGGCCTCATGCACATGCTCTACTACTGAGCTAAATCCCCAGCCTTTTTCATTTGTTTCTAGTGTTCAATTTTGTTGTTGTTCCCAATGTTCAATTTGCAATAGCATATTGTTTTTCTAAAACAGAGACCCCCAAAATGCATGTGTCTCAGGCCCAACTCCACCTGGATCACCTTTGATAGGTGGGAAAAGGGGTAAGTCTCTTTGGGGAGGTCCGACCCTCATTCTTCTTCTAGGGGCCTTGGAGCAAGGGCACTCAGGTATCAGAGCATGTTTGAGGTGGCCACAAAAACTGCCTACTTGGCTCCAGTTTGATATTATCGGGCCCAAGCTGGGGAGGAGGAGAGTGGGGAGCCAAACAGGTGCCAAGGATCTGGAGAGTGGCTGCTATAGGAGACTCAGCAGTGACCCCCTTGGAGTAGGGCCTTGCAAGTCCAGGGAAGAAGGAAACCAAAGCCAGCTGCTTTCAGGTGGCAAGACTAAAAAGTCACGAGGACATCTCTCCTACTGATCTCCTGAGGTGGTGATAAAGGTGGAAGAAGTAAAGGAGTGGGTGCCCCCCAGTAACTGGGGTCTCAGTTCCCATTAGAGACCATTGGAATCTGGTTCTAGCCTCCTCACTACCCTCCTCCTACTCTTCTCAGCTGACCAGGCCTTTTCTCTGTACCCCATGTGCACTGGAAAAGCCTGGACCCTTCCTTGGCACTTTATGCTCTCCACCACTGATCACTACCCATCCTGACAACAAGCATGGAATACCAAACACAGCATATGGCCTTTACTCAGACTGAGATCTCCACTGGGAGTAACCTTCCCCATACCCACTCTTCCACAGGCACTTTGTCAGTTCCTGGACTCCACAGACCTGCTGGTTCTAAGAGTAAAAAGGGGCCACAGAGAGGCCCAGAGAGAACATTTGCATAGGCTTGAGTCCCAGCCAGGGAACTCAGACTATCGTCACCCTGGCTGGCCAGCAGGCAGAGAGAAATGTGCTGGATCACCCACACTAGGTGGGAGTCCCCTTTATTTGAATTCGCTTTTGGGTAGCTAGACGCTGCAGGTGGCCCTCAATATGGACCAGGAGGGCATCCAGCATGTGAAGGACCCCAAGGAGTAGGGCACGATCTGAAATTGGAGTTCGCCGTTTCCAAGGTCCGTAGCAACTAGTGGTCACCTGTGGGTGCTGAGAATAGGAGTCCAAGTCTTACTCCAAGAGGTAGGAGTAAGTGGAGAGAGGGGAAGGGGGCATAGCAAGTGGCAGCAATAGAGAAGGGTGTAGGGTTATGCATTTGTGCCCAAAGGAGATGGGAGAGGTGACTTAGGGTGATGGATTCCCTGAGGGTCTCCTATAGGCTAGCATGTTCATGGGACCCATGGGGGTTGGATGAGAAATGGATGTACTAAAGGAGGACAAATTGGGCAGGGTACTGACCATGGGGAATAGTCAGGATGGATGGTTCTAGAAATGCATTTCATGGAGATGTGTGGACGGATGCAGGGAAAATAGGGTGTTGGGTAGGGTGAGGTTTGGCAGGAGGCCCATGAGTCTTTATAAGGCTGGCTTATTAGGGAAGGTTGAGTAGAAGTTATGGGCCCACTGGGCATGAGTGGAGGAAGGAGCTGTCGGGGAGTACTGTGCTCACCTTACCCTTAGTGTCCTGTGAACGCCACCGCTGCAGCATCGCACGGCTGATCACCAGCATCATGGTGGTGGTAATCATGACCCCAGCCACAGGGTAGATGCGGTTCCCTCCCAGGCCCACCCAACCGTTCGGACAGCCCAAGCTGCTCCTGCAAGAGTCTAGGCTATTTGGCTGGCACCCCCAGGGCTGCAAGTCCAACCCCACCTGATACCAGAGGGGCCGTGACCAGGCATGGGTGGGAGTAGGTATTGCCAACAGTAGTGACAAGAGAAAGTACAGTGCATGCAACATGGCTGTGGCCACTACCAGAAGCTGGAACCTTTGCGCTTGGCAACCACCAAACACCCCTCCCCCAAGAGTAGGCCCAGCTCTAAAGCAGCAGGTTCCAGCAGGGCCCAAGGCCCTTCATGACCAGCCTGGACCACAAATGGGAGGTGGGGGACTGTGTTGGGGGGGGGGGAATGGCAGCTCTGAGGCCTGGCAGGCCCAGGATAGAGGGAACACCTCTTATCCCCTATCTTCCCTGCTTCCACCTCATCTTGACAAAATCTAAACACCATGGCCCCTACAGCCCTCTGTTCTTCACCAGAGATAGCACTCCCAGGCCAATCAAGCAGTATATGACTGAGCTGCTCACTGTCCCTGCCCCCACCCAGCCCAGCTCCACCATCCATACTGCCTGAGCTGCAAAAATGTGGCTCCCAGGCTGGGGTTGTAGCTCAGTGGTAAAGTGCTTGCCTAGCATGAGTGAGGAACTGGGTTCAAGCCTCAGTTCCACTTACTACAAAAAAAAATTTTTTTTTCATGTGGCTCCTGTCAGTAAAAAAGTCTGAAGGTTCACACTGGCCTATAAGATCTCCCTCCCATTCATTTGGGCTGTACCTGCCTCATATACACATCCCTGAACAAATCTGCTATTCCCTATGTCAGAAGCAATTCGTCTCTTAGAAAGTCACCTTCTCATGGCTAGCGTTTGAGTTCAACTGTTACCTGCTCCCTAAGCCTCCCTCCCATGACCATCTTAGGTAACACAGCCCCTTCTAATGTGACCCTGCATTGTTTTCTTCAAAGCACTTCTAAGTACCTTCAATTTCATATTTGAGGTCCAGACTCCTACTCCAGCATTTAAGTCTCATTCAACCAATATTTACAGAGTGCCAGTTCCTGGTACCAGAATGCGGTATGATGGAGCCGACAAAGAGCTTTGATTTCCTGGACTGTGGTGAGGTTCTGGGGGGAGGACAGACAGTTTGTAAATACAGTGCCAGGCACTGACATAGGCCATGATAAAAATAGGCCTGGGCAAGGGTGCCTGGGTGATTTGGAGGGCAGGGCAGTCTCTGTGGTCAGTAACTTGATGAATGGCAAAGTTCATGCTTTGAGCAGGTGATTCAAGTCCTGAACTCATCTAAGCATTTCCCCACATTTGCTCATTTAATACTTACTGAGTAGTCTATGAGGTGAGTACTATCGCCACTCCACTCATCAGTAGCACACCCAAGCCCAGAAAGATTCTGGTGCCCCCATAGACACTCTTGACAATTTACTGTGTCAAAACCCCCTTGCCTGCTGGGCCATATGCCCTGATGTTGGCTTTTTTTTTTTTTTTTTTTAGTTGTAGACCGACACAATACCTTTATTTATTTTTTTGTGGTGCTGAGGATCGAACCCAGTGCCTCACATGTTCTAGGCAAGTGCTCTTACCACTGAGCCATAATCCCAGCCCCTGATGTTGGCATTTACTGGGAGAAATCAATAAATGCTTCTTGGCTAACAGTGCTCTGCCAAGTCCAATGATCTAATTATATAAACAAGCAATCAATCACACTTATTTAAAAATACAGATCAGCAGCGTTGGTAAGCAACTGATCTTCCTTGACTGGGTGTTCAGGGGTTCACTCTGTACCACCCAAGGGCTGCCCAGTGGCACCTGCCCTGCTGTGAACCTTATTGGGTATCCCTGAGAGCTGATTATTCCTGAGAAACAGTTTTAACTCCAATTATTTTCCAGCCTGAAGCTAAATTCTACCTGTGTGTAATTGGGGAGAAACTTGAGCCTGGGATGTCCTCACATTAGGCCTGGCCCCATAGCTCTCCTACTCTGTACACTTTCTGCCTGACCTTCCCCTCCTCTAATCCCCATCCCTGGCTTCTGACCTCAGTCTCTATCTTGGGGCATAAAAAGGTCAGAAGCCAGAATTGTCAACCATCCAACTCCCCAGTCAAGCCCCCACCATGCCATGGCAAAGCCTAGAGCTGGTTAAACAAATTTTTATTCCTTAGACTGAAAATAGACATTGGCTCCCTCCCCAAGCCTGGCCAAGGTCAGCCAAACCACAGTACCCCTCTTCCAGGCCTATAACCTGAATCTGGATTCCTAAATCTCCATCCCTGAGTTGTATGTATGTATGCACCAAGGGGCTCCTGAGTGGCACATGCTCAGTGTGGGGGTCTTCTTGAGGGTGCTCCATCACAACCTCCTGAGGTGAGCAATCTTGGGCAGGGTAATAACACAGTCAGAGTTTGGTGGCCTGGATAGACAGAGGAGGCGAGGTTCTAGTCAGTCTCCAAAAAACACATAACAAACCACTTCTCCAGGACAGCAACCCCTGCTCCCAGGAGCAACTTAATCCAAAGACAACTGGAGAAGGAAATGGGTCCACTGAGGGCAGAGCTAGGTCAATAAATGGACTTCCTGGAGTTAGGGTCAGGTTGGGGACAAGCAACAGATTAATAAAAAACAGCCTAGTGGGCCAGAAACAAGCTTACCAAAATAGGGCTGATGGGGCCAGACTTTGAGTGTTGGAGGGCAAAGGTCACAGCATCATGAACAGAGACAAAGAGATGCCGTTTTGTTATAGATGCATCAAAGAACTGCCCAGCCTCCAACTGGGTGACCACAGGACCTGTAAGCAAGGAATAGGTCTCCTCTGACTCTCAGGACCACTTGACATTCCAGCCCCAGATACCTTTATAGTGTTCTGATGTCTGCCACACTATCTTCCACCCCTGAGGCTAGAGCTAGACACCCAGTCACTCCCAACACTAGACTCCTTCCTCCCAGGGCACCTTTGATCTCCAGTTTCAGAAACTTTTTCCTTGTGATTCCTGGCAAACCTCTCAGCAAAGAGTCCCACCCTCTTCCTGGACCATCCTGTTATCCCCAAGTAACGCACTGTGGCAGGCTGCAATGTACACATCCACCTCAATCTCCCGGAAGTCACGGAAAATCTGCAGCAACAAAAGGGGCTGGACTCAAGGGAGGCTCAGGGATTCAGAGGGGACACTTGGGCAAGCTTAGGGGAACAATTTTTTGATGTTGAGCTTGCAGGGTTTGGGGGCATCATCATGCTCAGAGGGGTCTCAGCAAAAGTTATGGGGTTTGTGTGGAAGCCTGGGGGGCCATGGCCTGCCTACAGCCCCTTACATTCTTTAGGTTCTTGATGCACACAGTGTCTACAAAGGAGAGGGCACCCAGGTCCAGGATGAGGCTATGAAAGTCCGGCTGAGGCAGGCCCAGGGCTTTCAGCGTAGGCACAGCTATAGCCTTGGCATCTTCTTGACCACTAGCCACAATCTCTTCCAGCTCATTCTCTGGCATTGCCTGCAGGGGAACCAGACGTGTGGTAGGACAGCCCATCAGGAAGTGAAAGCAGGGAACATACAAAGCACCTTAGGGACACATGGGATTAGACACAGGAGTGTGCATATAAATACCCACATATAGAGGGACATACAGGGAACACATGATGACACAGACATGGGGGAGTCATGTGTGTACATAGGACAGGCAGTATAGATACATGGGGACATACAGGAGAGCATGCCCAGATATTCACACACAGCTGTTACCTCCTGGGCCCAGGCTTAAAAGAGACACAAGAAGGGAGGATACTGGGAAACTATATTCCACCATCAGCCAGCCCAGGTGGAGTGGATAGGGGTACAAGGACAGACCAGAAGAAACACATCCATTCATGTGCACACACTCACACACAGACACCTTGGCAGCCTGTTCTGTTTGAGTGTGGCTTCTCTATGTTCCCAAGATTTTTCCCATATATTCAAGCCCTTCCCTCCCTTCATGAGCAGACTCTGGGATCTATAAATCTAAGGTCTTCATCTAGGCCTGAGATTATAGATAAGAGAACAAGCAGAATTCTGTTTCACCACAGGTCTCTCCAGAGTATCAGAGTCATCACCCTATTTCCCCAGACATTGGTGCCTCCTCAAACCCAATTTGGTTGGGGTCCATGACTTTTCTCAGGAGATGTGTAGACACCCTCATCTCTACAGCTCATGGCTGACCTCTCCTCTCCCACCTCTAGCCTCACCTTGGTCTTAGAGCTCTCCACATCATTGCTCTTGGTGTCTCCAAGATTGGTGTTGACATTGATGGAAACTGAGTTGTCCTGGGAAGAAACAGCCTACACAGGGGAAGAGTGGAGACAGGAAAGAGTTATTCCCGCTATCATATAACAACAGGTCAGGTAGGTAGGTCTGATGTAGATCCCAGGCTCTGGAAGCTGTGGGATCTGGGGCAGCCAAGCCACAGGGCTCTGACCAATTCTGAGAACAGCCACAAAAATGGAAGAGGACTATGATGATTCACACTGTCACCGGTATAGGGACAACAAAAGACCACCAAGAGCCCCGCCAGGGAGTGAAACAGGGAGGCTGGGAGACAGGCTGAGGGAGGAACACTGGGGCAGGGGCAGAGTTCAATAGTGAGACAAGTTGGCTGGGGTCAACAGCAGACCACGGGCAGAGGCCAGCCCAGGGCAGGGCCAGGAGTCAGCCAATGGAAGGGGCCCTGCCTGTTCCTGGGGTGACTTGTGTTTCTGTAGGCGCTTCAGCTTCATCTCTTGCTTCTTGAGCAGTTTCTTCTTCCGAGAGATGAGGTGATCAACATCCACACCACACTAGAGGTGAATGTGAAAGAAGAGGATGAGGCACTCTGGGAAGGCAAGGGGCCCTCAATCAGTCTCCAAGAGACCTCAGTCTCACCCTCTGCTTCAGTGTGTCACTGTAGAGCTCAGCGTTGGCAAAGTATATGGTGGCTGAGGAGCGGAAGATCTTCACACCTGGGACCTCCCTGGCCTGGGGATGGGACAGAGTTGTAGGGGAGCCAAGTCCTCTCCCTCCACTGCATCCTGTTCTGTCTTTCCTCCCCAAGAGCACCCAGTGCCTGCCACCTCCCACCCTCTGTTCCTAGCCTTTGGCTTACTCAGAGGTGGACTCCCCATCCTACTACTTCACTCCTGCCTCAGGTCCTCTCCCCATCACCTCTCCTGCTCTTTGCCACTACCCAGATTAGATTTTGGTGGTGCCTAGGCCTCCTCTTAGATCTCCAACCCCTGTCGTTTTGTCGTTGTTGTTGTTGTTTCTGCGTGTGGACATAAAGATTCCTCTAAGCTGTCACCCCGATCTCAGTTCCCATCCCATTTACAACACAGCAAGATCTTTACTAGGCATTTAGGCCTGTGCCTCATGGTGCTTCCTCTCCATCCTGCTGAGCTACTCCCCTCATGTCCTGTCCCACACCTTAGATCCCTTGGTCCCATCCTTTACTCTGTCTAATCACACTGTGCTCATGCTTTCAGTCTCTGTCAGTGCGAAGGGACTTTTTTTTTTTTTTTTTTAAACATTTACTATTTGTAGTTGGACACAATAACTTATTTATTTTTATGTGGTGCCGAGGATCGAACCCAGGGCCTTGCACATGCGAAGCGAGCGCTCTACTGCTGAGCCATAACCCAAGAAGGGGCTTATTTTATTCCAGATCCCTATCCCCTGTGCCTGCCCCACAGCCTTTTTTCCATCATTTGGCTTAAGACTTCCCAGGAGGTAAATGATTAGAGACTTAGTAGCCCCACTGATGAGATCAGGAAACAGCCTATGCCCTAGGACCCTGATCCTCTATATTCCTGACCCAGGATGGCTCTAAGACTGACCCCTCACTAGACCTCCAGACCTACCTCTCTTTACTCTCTTTCTGTACCTTCTTAGCCCCTCCCACTGAGTGGGGGTTATAGACCCAGACTCCTCACTAAAAATTCCAGAGACCAAACCCAAAGTACTCTCAGCCCACTGTGTCCTTGCCAGTGTAAAAGGGATTGACATGGGTTTGCTCTGCCTCTGTTCCACCCAACTCATGCTGCCCTCCTACTCAGCCCCTGCCACTCACATCTGAGTACTCTGCCACGTCTCTGTAAATATCCGTGTCTGACACCTGCCCCAGGACAGAGTAGTGAGGTCTGTGGAGGTGAAAGTGAGTATAAGAAGAGGAGGAGAAGGGAGACATGAGGGCACACTGAGGAGCCTGTGGTTCCCCCTTCTCCAGAGACATGGGGAAACCTGGGGGGAGCCAGTGTTCCCTTTCCAGCTGGAATGAGGGAAGGACCAATAAGGATGACTCACAGCTGTGTTCGGACCACTACAAGAAGCAGGGAGAAGGCTAATGCAACTGCCAGGCCAAGGTCCAGGTTTAGCAGGATGGTAGCCACAAAGGTCACCAGCCAGATGAGCTGAGAACAGAGGGGCAGGAGTTAAAGAGTATAGAGGGGCCACTGGGGCTAAAGGCCCCAATCCCAGCTCTAGGCCCCCAGGTCTCTTACCAGGTCTACACGATTTGTCTTCCACAGGGAGCATATGTCAGCAAACTGCATCAACATGCCCTTTAGGTTCACAATAATGGTGGCTGCCAAAACTGCCTGGGGTGGAGGGAGTATCACCAGGGCTGCTTATAGGTGCCTAGATATTGACCTCAACCATGTAGGCATGATTCAGACTGACCCCAAGAACCTGGTCAGAACCCCAACCAACAGCAATGACCACCCACCCCAACTCTACCAATTTGGATTTGACTGAAAAATTCTAAACCCTGACCCTTGAGGCCAAATCTCACCCTATAGATCTCAGCCTTAAAAATCCAGGGCATGATCTTATATTCTTGCCCCTTACTTGGGTATAGACTAAACTGAGACCCTGGCCTTACCAAAGCCCTGAAAACTGGTTGGGTAGGGCAGTGGCTCACCCTAGGTAGGTCTTGGAAGAGTTCTCCGAGTTTGAGGATGATGAGGAGGATAAAAAGGGAAGAGACAGCTCCGGCAACCTATGGGATAGGGGCGATCAGCAGGTGGGGGCAAGCAGGGGTAAACCACCCTGGAAAAGCAATGTGCACCCTCACTCCCACATCCAAAACCCACCTGTGTGTTGCCCCCAGTGCTTTCTTGTACCAGACTCCGGGACATAGAGCAACTCACAGGAAAGCATCGGAAGATACCCCCAATGAGGTTACTGAGGCCAAGGGCCACCAGCTCCTGTTGGGGGAACATGGGTGTGAGGAGACTTGCCGGAGGTGCCTGGTCACTGCTCCACTATTTAGTTGATGCATCTCCAACCCCCATCCCCAGTTAAGGGCCTTCAAAGACTAGGCTGCTATCCCACACATCTTTTTCCCCACTCTCAGTCCCACACAAGTCCCATCTGATCCTCCCTACCCGCAGCTGCTGGGGACTCTGTACATACACCTGGAGGTCCCCTATGTGTCCCTCATTACTCAGACCTGGTTGCTGTCCACACGGTAGCCATGTCTCAAGGCAAAGATCTTTCCCAGTGAGATGGCAATGGCAAACCCAACCACAGCGATGGCGAAGGCATTTCCCACAAGCTTTACAAACAGCTGGGGGTTGGGAGCTTCTGGGGATACCAGTCTGAAAGAGGCATCTGTGAAGTCAAAGAAAGGTTCTTTCCCTGGCTACCCAGTCCTTCCTGCCCTGATAGGGGACCAGAACTTACCCTGCAGGGATGTTGCCCACAACATCCACCCCAAATCTCTTCTTCAGGCCTACACCATAGGAAATGCCTGTAGCCCCAATGAGCTGTGGGGAGAGAACAGAATCAGGGGAAAAAGGTACAGGTATTATTGTCTGGGAGAAGGATAAACCCCTTTGGGAGAGAGGAGACACTGAAGCAAAATTTTCTGAGGGAAGGGTGAAATTCTGTCAGGGGTAGGGAGAAGACAATGGCATTTTTGCTGCAGTACTCAAGAAGCTTTCACAGGGGCCACTTCAACCAGCTCCCAAATATCTGGAGGTTCCCCATACCTGGGATCTATCCTCACTTGCCTTTTTCCCCTGCCCTTCAACACCCAAACCACAAGCAATTCCCCAGTAAACCCGAACCGTGAGCAATTCCCCAGGTATCGGCAGGGGCAGATACCGCTGCAGCTTGTCATTCAACAGCTTCACCATCACAAGCACCACCCCGGCCACAAATGCAGTGATCACGGTGCCGATGACACTCTGGGGTAGCTTCCAGCAGACCTCCAGCACTATCTGAGGAGAGGTGGGGTCACAGCCAGCACTCAAGTTCATGGGGCACATCTATTCACCCATCCCAACCTTACTCACATAGATGAGGGATAGTGGCCCTGAGTGGCTACTCAGCTGGAGGCCAAACACATACTTGAGCTGTGAGACAAAGACCTGCACAGATGCAGCTGTGGTATAGCTGCGGACCAGCGGCTCTGACAGGTAGGTGACCACAAAGCCAAAGTGCACCAGGCCCAGCCCCACCTGTGGGATAACAGGGAAGAGTCAGGGGAGGCAGGAGTCCTAGGGGTGGTCCAGGGCAGATGGAATCAGAATCAGAGGGGATAGTGAACAGAGGGGACAAAAATAGGATGGCAATAATCGGAGAATCTGGGTGCTGGGGAAACATACTTCTGAATGTTTCACACCTGGAAGAGTCCAACCAGAACACTGAGTGTGGAGGCCAGCTGCACACGGGTGACATCTCTGGCTGTCTCATTGACTGTGGAGTTTGAGTCCAGCAGGAATTTCTCATCTGGGGCTAGGGATTCTGTCACACTGCCCACCATCACAGACATGACAGCAAAGGTCCCTAAAGGAGCAGAGCAGGGCTGGTCTGAAGGGAAAAGAACACTGTCCTCCCCTGGAGCCTTGGTCTTGACAGTGAGGCCAAGATAGAACCCTGAGGCTCATGGGTTCTTAAGGGTACTAGAAATGCTACCCTACATTATATACCTTGTACCATTTATGTCCATTGGCCTAGAGACAGAGACATTCCATGAATTGGGGAAGAGGAAATAACCTGCCTTGGCCTCTTGAATTCCCTCATTCACTTACATCCTCCTGGAGTCAGGGCTTTGAAGTACCCTGAATCTGTGCTCCCACAGTCAGTGACCTAGTCCTGCCTGGGGATGACAAATGGGCCAGCCTCCTAGTGACCCAGCAACCATTCTACTCTTTCCCTAAATTTCCCTGCCCTGCTCAGCCCTCCCTCACCCTGTTCTCCATGGGGGATATGGGCATCCTCCCAAAAGTCTAGGCCTGACTCTACTTACCCACAGAGATATGCCTGGAAGTACCAAACAGGAAGTAGATGAAGACTGGGTAGAAGGAGCTATAGAGGCCAAACACAGGAGGCAATCCAGCCAGGAGGGCATAGGCTAAGCCTGGGGGGAAAATGGCAGCAAAGCAGGCTTGGAGATGAGGATCCAAAAGGTTGGAAGAATCCCAGCATGGTTAGAGGCCATGTGTCCAGGTATGGTATATCACAGATCACAGGGACTCTAGGTCAGGGCCTTGAATGTGGCTCACCCTGGGGAAGCTGCATGATGGCAACACTCAGGCCAGATAACAGGTCACCCAGGAGCCAGTCACGCACAGGATAACGGGGTAACCAGCCCAAGACCGGGAGATGTTGAATCAGAAGGGCACGGGCCCGTGCATGGGAGCACCTGGGGACATGAGGGGTATATATGAGGGACAGGGGCTACCTGGGCCCCGCCAGAGTCCCAGGCCTTTCTCCCTGGCCTTACTTCAACCATGTTCTCCACGGATAGGTCCTAGGTGTCAAGTCCCAGCGCCCCAGTTCTTCCAGTTGCTCCTGGTTCATCAGTGGCCGGTCCACATGGTAATCTTGCTTCTGCAACTCCATTATCTATGTTGCAGACAGGAGTGCCTGTGTATCCCTTATCTGGGGGGATGAGATCAGAGATACAGTAAGGATACCCCCTTACCCAATCTTCCCTACACATACCTGGGAATAGACAGTCACATACTGATTTTTCCAGGCCCTAAGATCAAGGTAGATCCAGCCCCAAGTTGGTCCCTGCAGGCCCCATGCCCACACCCAAGCAGAGGCAGTACCTGAACTTTGGCTGGTAGAAACCTCTTTCTGGGCCAAAGTCCCTCATGAAGGGATAACAAGAAGAACACGACCCACACTTCCAGCCTAGGTGTGGCTGCCCAGCCCTGAGTACTGGTCCAGGTCCAGGTCCAGGTCCAGGTCCAGGGTGACTGCTCCTCCTAGCCCCCTCCTCCCAGGCCCTTGCTCTCCCTGAGTCAATCCCTGTGTCCTTATCCAGCTGCCTCACGGACCCAGATCTGGCTGGCCGAGAACACTTTTAGGGAAGGGATCCAGCAAATCAGAAATCCAAGTCTTCAAGCAATTCTCTCCCCAAGCCTCAGTCCTCCAAATGAAACTCTTTCCTCTAAGGGAAGGACTGCTTTGCCCCTAGGCCTCTAGCCCCAGAGTCCAATTTGTAGAGAAGCTGGAGACTGGGTTGGGGAAGCCAAAGGATGCCTCTCACCTGGGGGGATGTCTGAGGAGAAGGGGATCTTTCTTGAATTTGGAAGTTCTCACCCAGGGGGAGACACGCCCATCTGGAAAGGGAAGCTCTCCCCTGAAGTAGGGAAAGTCACCTAGAAATAGAGCTTTCAGGGGGAAAGCCTTCACCCCCAGGCAAATTCTGATCTGAGGTAAAGTTCTGACCTGGGAGGAATCTTTTATCTGCCTAGAGGCTCCTCTCTGAAGTGAAAGACCTTAAAGAATAGGAGATGGAGGTGGGTGGGTGGGAGAGGGAAGTCTTATCTGGGAAATACTCTCACCTAAGGGGTAGGCTCCCCATGGCATGGGAAAAAGCTCTCTCTTGGAAATAACTTCTCAACAGGGTAGGGGTGGTAATGGGGTTCTAGAGCGGGAGGGTCTAGCATATTAGGAAAGCTTTCACCCATCAGGAGAGTTCTAACCTAGGAGAAGCTCCAACCAGGAGAGGATCCCACCTGAGGGACTGGAACTCACCTGGGGAAAGCCTCTAACCTGGATGTCCCGGTTGGAGGGAGGCAGTATAGCAGGTACAAGGAAGATCCTCAGAAGGCTCCGCTGTTTCACGGAGATCTTAGAGACCCCTCTCCCCTCCTCCGTAACTCACTCCAGTCTTCTTAAAGGGCTCCCTCCCTCACAACGCGGGACGCGTGCCTGGAGGGCGGAGCCTTGATCCTTGGCCCCTCCCTCTGGGAGAGTACGGGGGCCGTAGAGCTAGAGCTCTCGTTCCCTGGTCAGTTATACAGCTGGGAGGACTCGGGCCCCAGCTGATCCACAGGCCCCAGCCAGAGACTCTCTTGCAGCGATCTTCCAATCTCAACGCGCCCCAGCTAGCACACCTCTTGGGCCGGGGCTCCTCCGCACGCAGCCACCTCCCTGAGGCCCCCCGTTAGCCCTTGGACAGCATTCCAGTGGCTTTACGCACAGCCCTCAAGGGCCAGGGTGGCACCGGCTCCCACCCCCATCCCTCGCTGCAGAGGGGCAGCCACCTGCGGGAAATCGTCAAAGCGGTAAACCGGTTGGGAGAAGGAAAAGCCTACTCGGGACTTAGCGGTCCCTCTTAAGAAGCCCAGGCCGGGAGCCCGCGCGGGGGCCACGAGGCTGCCCGCGCCTCTCGGACAAGCAGAATCCGGGCCATGCCCTGCACTCACCCCAAAGCATCAGACAGCCCCAAGGCCCTCAGGCTTCTAAGCCAACAGCTCCAGCAAAAGGCCGCTTTGGGACGAAGGTGGCGCCAAGACAGGGACGAGGTGGGCCTCTAGCTCCCAGGGCCTAATCCAGGGGCAAATTGGGGAAGGTTTGAACCAATCAGCGTTCTAGGGGCAGGGACCAAAGCACGCTTTCTGAGCAGGGAGAGTCGGGAGAAGAGAAGTTTAACCCCTTCTTCACCCCGGGCCTGGCTTTTTTCTTGCTCCCCCTTGCGGCTCGCTTAACGGTCTGCCAGAGCCTGATGGGACTGTGGAACGTGAACCAAGAACCACAGCGGGACTGGCAAGGAAGTAAGTACTGGCCAGAACCGCGCCTCCAGGGCCCTGAGTGGATGGAGCTGATCCTGGTGCTTCGCTGCGTAGTGTGACCTGATGTGCATGAGGTCTTGTGGGGCCTCTCATATTTCCAAGCTGAGGGCGCCACCCTCAGGCTTTCCCTTGGAGAGCAGGAGGCATGTTTCTGAGACCCACGAAATGTCCCCAAGGCCTCCTCTTCAACTCTAGCTAGTGAGGAGGGCTCTGGACAGGTGCAGGGAGCCCAACCTAGGCATGGTGCCTGGAGTTTCCTCCCTGAGCCATGGAGGAACTCAACATTCTGGCCAGTTGCAAGTCATGGAGGGTGGGAGGAGTCTGGGATTGTGGCTCAGTGGTAGAGTGCTTGTCTGGCATGTGTGAGGCCCTAGGTTTGATCCTCAGCACTGCATATAAGTAAATAAAATAAAGGTCCATCAATAACTAAAAAATATTTTAAAAAAGAAAGGCTTGTGGGGATTAGTGTTGTCAATGGGCAGCTGCAAGGGAAGCTCCTAGAAGTTGACAACTTCTCATGTAACAGTGGTTCACTTTATGCTTTGGATATAGCCCTTGCTGCTCTGCCATTGCAAAATTTTTTAAAATGGACATTTTTTTCTCTCCCTCTTTCCCTTCTCTTGCCTAATCTTTCCCTGTCCCTAATCTCAGAGGAAACAGGATTACCTTTCTTCCCCATCCTAGGCAGATTTCTCTGTTCTTGAGTAATCACCCACCATAGAAACAAAGTAATCTGGACTTTGGGGATGGTATCAGAAGATCTCAGAAATGACTAGCTCCTAACTTAACAAGTGAATTACAACTTCAGTAGAGAATGTAGCCTTTGAATCACCTCTATAAAAGACCCCTGTTCCTGTTGGTAGGCAGAATCACAGACTCTGGGAAGGGAGCCCCCTGTGTTTCTCCTTTGCTAGCAAAGCAATAAACCTTCTTTTGGCTTTTTCTCAAAACCGTGTCCTCATTGTTGGACTGGATTGGGGACAAGGACTGCACTTTCAGCAACACCCAGAGCAAAACAGTAACCAGCTGTAGGCATGGTGGCATACGCTTGTAATCCCAGTGGCTTGGGAGGTTGACGCAGGAAGATAATGAGTTCAAAGCCAGTCTCAACAATGGCAAGGTACTAAGCAACTCAGTGAGATCCTGTCTCTAAATAAAATACAAAATAGGGCTGGGGAGGTGGCTCAGTGGTTGAGTGCCCCTGAGTTCAATCCCCCGTACCAAAAAAAGGTGGGGGGAGCCAGTCTTAGCAATTTAGCAGGGCACTTAGCAATTCAGGGAGACCCTGTCTCTAGTAAAATATGTTTTTAAAGGGCTGGGGATGTGGCTCAGTGGTTAAGCACCATTGGGTTCAATTCCCAATACCAAAAAAAAAAAAAAAAGTACTTAGCCAGGGCTGCAGGCCCTGAACACTAAGTAGGTCCTCATGCTTGACCAGGGAAGAGATTTCCTTGGCACCCTACTCCCAGCACTTGTGGTCCATCTCTAGCCCCAATCACAGGTGAAGGGCCAGATTTCAAAGAGAAAGAGATGGGAACCTGGTCCAAATCTCCTATAAAGTGAGCAAAAAACCCCCAAAATACCCCTAGATATTCAAACTCAGTCTGAACTGAATCATTCACAGCCACCATCCTACCACCACCACCTCCAACAGAAAGAGGCAACAACTGTTTTATATAGAAGTTTATTCCCAAAACAGAGCTCGGCTTCACGGAACAATTTACACAGACAGGAAAGAGGGCCGCTGGGCTGGAGTGGGGAGACCCCAGAGAGGGGTATCTACAGAACCTAGGACATAGCAAGGATACCCTCTCACCCACAGCATGCCACTCAGCCCTTTGAGGGCTGGGGTCATTTTGGGTAAGAAGAGCTGGGGTCCTGGCTGGTGGGATTTGAAACCAGTCAGTGAAGTAGAATTTTTAATCTCCTTGGAAACTGCCTCCAAGAGCATGCATGGGAGTCGGGTATGGGGAGGTGTCTGCACAGACCCAACCCTGTACAACCACTGTTAATAGTGGTAAAAGGATGCCTACTCTCAGACCTTCTGGGTCTGCTGTCAAACTGGGGGCTCAGGATGGACCTTTGGCCTGGGAGAGCTAGGAGTTAGAAAACCCCACAAGATGACCAGGCCCAGGATCTTCACAGGTGGGTCCTCTTAAGCCCCTCTCCCACTTTTCCTACCTTTCACTTGTAAACAAAGGGGGAAAAAATTCTCAACTGTAAACAAAGTGTTAAAGTTCAAAATTTTAAGTTGTAAACAAAAAAAGTTTTTAAAAACCTCACCTGTAAACAAAGTAACAAAATTTTAAAGTCTCTAGTTCTGAACATCAGACAAAGTAACAAAAGTAAGAGTTTTGTGAACAGGGTCTAACAGTCATTTTTCCCTTTAAAAGGGAATAAAGGAAGGGTGGAACTGAGTCACTTCAGCAGCCCGGTGCCTAGGGCCAGGGAGGATCCTGTAAACATGGGAGGCAGTGGCACCTACATTCTGGGTCTTGAATTCCCTCATATCTGCTCCCTTTGTTCACTCTCCCACCCACCCCTCAGAGGGCAGTGTGGGGGAATCAAATGGCACCACAGACAACTTTTGCTCAGGCAGGGGCAGGGGCAGGTCAGTGACCCCTCTACCCACCCAATACTGGAATGTCTGAGTAGAAGCCTGGGCCCCTCCCCAAGGGAGAAAGGGAAGCCTTGCTCTGTAAACATGACATCTGCTGCTCCACCAGTGCCCACAGCATCAGTCCTAGGTCATAAGGCAGTAAGTGGCAGGGACTCCATGTAATAAACACACACATCCACGGGGAGGGGTGGCATGAGCAAGCCCCCATGAGAGAATCAGAGGACCCCTGTTTCCAAGACCAACCCCCAACCCCAGAAGTTTGGTCGGTGGGGCATTTAAGAGAAAATAAGATCAATTCTGCACTTTGGGCCCTGACAATCCTCAGATCAAACAGGGGGGTGGGGTGGGGTGGGGTCAGGAGGGCATCTGTCCACATGTTGGACAAGTCTACCCCAGTAAGATATGAGAAAAGAACATATGGTTTACTATGGACCCAAATGGGGCCAAACTCTGCATCTCTCTTCCTCTGTTCCCTTCCCTTTACCAGTCCAGTCTCAGACCCCTGGGGGAGACAGAAAAGCTGAAAAATAACATAAGCATATCTCTCTGGTTACAAAGGTATAAAATGTATAAAAGTCTTCCCTTCAGTCCCCACCTGCCTTGCACTTGTCACACCCATGCTCACTGATGTGCATGGAACCTCCACACTGCCATAGAGGGAGCTGGGGGGAGGCACACAGGATGCTGCCTTAGGATCAGCCCCCCTCCTCCTGGATTTTCTCCTGTTGCCCTCAGTTGTTCCTCATATGCACGTCATCCTTCAGGAGTGACCCTCACTTCTGGGAACCCTGTAGAGTTGAACATGGACATCAAAGTTAACTGCTGAGAGTACCCTAAGTCAGATGCCTCCTAGCTTCCCTACCATATCTGGCCTGCTCCACCTCCCCCCATTACCGTTGCCTCTCAGTGTTCAGCCCTTCATGTTCACTTTGGAGTTCTGAGTCCCCCACCCATTCTGAACACCTTAACTCATCAGCAAGGCTTCCCGACTACCTCGGTCTTTTCTCTTAACACTTAGCAAGCACCTGCCATGTACAGACATTATGTTAAGCACTTGGCACGTAATATCTCACAAATCTTCACATCTCAAAGAGTTCGATACTATGGACCTTTCTACAGATGAGGAAACTGAGGCTCACAGAGGCTTGTACCCTGCACAAGGTCACACAGCTAGTAAGATAAGAGAACTCAAACTCACACCTGTATGATTCTAGAGCCTAAGCCCCTACTCAATTTCCCAGCCCTCCTCTTACTCAGCCAAAGCCCAAGGCTACACTGTAGGGGGACCCAGGTGATAAGTCTGCTCCCTTTCATCCTCACCCTTTAGTATCCCTCTAGAACCCTGGGCCCTCCAACCCCCCCTGCCTCTCCCTTCTTCCTTTGTCTTCCCCCAAACACTGGGTCCTGCACAGTTCTGTTGGTCCCCTGTCCCATCCCCAAAGACCCCTTCCCCTCAGATCCATCTCTCAGCCTACAGACTCCCCACTCCTCCAGAGCTTGACCTAGCTATACTCCCTGAAATGCAACTCTCCCATTGGCTTACAAAACCAGCAACTCCTGGTTTCTCCTCACCCCACCATTCCTTCTCAGGCTCTTGTATATCCTGCTACTTCTGGGCATGTCTGCCATCCTCTACCCCACAGATGCCCTGCAGGCTCCTGAGATGTACCAGATCCCAGCTCAAGCCTCTGAGCCTCACCCCATAGTGCCCACAGGCAGGAGGAACTTAAAATTGACTGAATATAGTTTATCCTCAAAGTTAGCTCTTCATCCTGATATATCTGGTATCCCAGGATATGACCCCTTAGACAAACCTTCCCAAGCAAACACTCCTTCACTCCTCCCTGCTCTTTGAAAATATGGGGTTATCTTCTACTTCTAGGCTTTGACTCCTGCCTTGCCCCCTCTACTAGATCCAGTCCTTTGGAGGGCAACTATCTCTTCCTTAGTCTGGGAGGTGCAGGGAAAGAAAGCTGGTCCCAATCATACAACTGGTGAGTCCCTGCTAGTCACATTCCCTTTCAATGCCAGATCTCTGTACCCAGCCTCTGACCTCCTGGCTGTGCTGAGCCTGGGGTAGCCCCCACCTGTCTGTCAACCCCCACCCCATTCTGTAGTGGAACCTAGGGGAGGAGGCTAAGCTAATAAGGGTATGAGTAGTTGGCTAGGCCATGCTTACTCTGAGTCCGGCGACAACTCTGAGATGCTGTGGGACGTGGCAGAGCGAGGTGTGGAAGGCCCAAGTACAGAGGCTGTGGCAGAAGGGGTGGCAGTGGTGTGAGGGCCAGAGGGCGTGCTTGAGGACTGCACAGAGGAAAGAGCTGAAGAGTTGAAAGAGGCGAGGATGGAGGAGAGAATGTCCAGCTGCTCTGTGGAGGGGCCATGGCTCGGGCCACTGGTTGGCTCCTCCCTAGCTCTGAGCAGCTGAGGGGGTGGTCCAAGGGCCTCTCGTGAGGAGTGCCTACTAGGCACTTGGTCCAGCTGCTCCCGAGAGTTCGAGCTCCTGGACAGAGAGTCCAGGGGCCGAGATGGCAAGAGGGGGTCCTTTGAGAGTTGCCGCTGGGGAGACAGGGGCAGAGTAGGGTGCTGTGGGTCAAGGTCCCGGGTGAGACGGGGTGGGGGCAGTGTGCTCAGCCATTCTCGGGGTGCTCCTAAGTCCAGTGCATCCCGTGACCCAAAGCGACCAGCTGTGGCTCCAGGGTAGTCTCGGGGTGGCTGCCTCCGTGGCAGGGTGCTGCCCCGAGCTCTGGGCTCTAAGCGGCCTAATGCAGCATCCAGGTGTTCCTGGGAACCTGGCCGGCTCAGGGGATGCAGAACAGGGACAGGGGCTTCCTCTAGTCTCTCACGGCTCAGCTGCCGCCGTAGGAGCAGATCCAGTTGTTCTCGAGAAGAGTAGCGACTGGCTGGCTGTGAAAGGCTGCCTGTGCCCCCACCAGCATAGATGCGACCATAAGAGGCAGCTGGCACAGCACGGTGACCCAAGGTGGCTGCACGGCACCAGGACAGCTCAGGAGCACCTCGGGTCTGTGGTACCAGTGGGTATTGCAATGGGTTCTTCAGGATACCTATAGGAGAAACAAAATGGGGGGCGGGGTGTGGGGGTGGAGTGGGCCAGGTAGGTATTCCCTGAGTTTAGGGATGGGGTAGCTGCTGGGATCCCTGTCAGAGTTGGGACTAGAAATCAATCCCCTGGGGAGGAGCAGAGGCAACCCTGGGGGTCTCAAAGAGGCAGCAAGAAAGGGCCAGAGTGGGCTGGAGATGTGGCTCAAGCAGTGGGGCCCGGGTTCGATCCTCAGCACCACAACAAAGAAAGATGTTGTGTCCGCTGAAAACTAAAAAATAAATATTAAAAAAATTCTCTCTCTCTCTTGAAAGAAAGAAAGAAAGGGCCAGAGTGGAGAAGTATTAATACTCTGGCTCAGGTGAAGGCAACCAAACTTCCCCACTGACGTCAAAAGAGCAGCAGCCACCAGGTTCTGGAAATATAGGACTAGGTCAAAGAGGAAGTCCCCAGGGTCCCTGTAATGCAAGATTGAAGACAGAAATGTTTTGTGTTGTATAGGAACAACCTCTGGTGGTTCCTGTAAAGCAAAGTAAGGAGACAGAAATCTTCCAGATCAGACAGGCTCTGGGATCTGGGAGACAGCTTCCCTTAGGATCTCCACGAAGCAGACATGGGAATGGGGAAGGGAGAGGAATCCCTTGGGTTGGGGCAGCACTGGCTTCTGGATGTAGGCCAGGGCATGGGAGGAAGGAATTGTCTGGGTTAATATAGGTGCATGGGGACCATGAAGCAGAGTAGAGAAACAGAAACCTCCCAGATCAGAATAAGAGGAGCTCAGTTTGAGACCAGGAAGCTGAAATTGATTGCATGAGGGCAAGAGTAGCCTCTAGGGTTCATGTAATGCAGGTCAAAGGTCAGAGACCATACCTTTCCTCTGGCGCTGGGCTTGGCCCAGGGATGTTTCGTCCCCGCTGGTCAGGGCCAGATCTGGATGGTTGTTGTTGGCTGTATCTTTGCTGGTGTCCAGCCCCAGGCGCCTTTCAGAGCCCCATGTCTGCAGAGCACAGGGGGCTGCCTCGCATTCCCCCAGGGCTGGCCAGTAGGACAGGAGGTCATTGCCATCCACGTCTGTGGAGCCAGGGCAGGTTACAGAAGCCTCTAGTTTGATCCCAGTGACTTAGGACTTCTGTGACCCAGACTCAATGACATTCAGTGATTCCTGGCTCTAATGACTTTTGAAAATCCTGGCTATTCTCATTGAGTAGAGGTAGGAACAGAAGGGAGACCAGGAAGACCAGGTTGGGTCCCAACCCACAGGGACAGAGTCTGGAGGGACATGTCATTCTATAACATCCCTGACTTCATCACTCTATTGCTTAGGCTGTTCCTGTGTCATCCAGATACTGCTGGAAAACTGGATGGGGATGGTGCGTGGGGTTCCCATGAACACCCCAGAGGGTCCTAATGTATCAGATTCAGGCATCCTGAGGAGATGACAGGATCCTTGAATCGCATCTAAGTGGAACATGGGGTATCCCTCAGTCATTCATGGGATCAGAGTGTTCCCATCACCTTTAGGGTGGGTGAGGAGCCTCTCACTCTGGGCTGTCCGTCGGAGAGGACGCTGGAAACGCCCTCGTGTCCGACCATTGTCCTCGCTTTCTGAAGATGGGATAGACAGACTCCTTTCCTCCTCCAAAGACAGGTCACTGTCAGAGTCAGAGTCTGCACCTAGAGTTGGGAAGACCAGAAGGAGGAATGTGTAGCAGTAGCTTTGGGAAGCAAAGGACTTGGGGATAAGGAAAAGGCCTGGAGATAAGGGTCTAGAGGTGGATGCAGCAAGGAAGTTGGGGAGGAGGGCCCCAGGCAGAACTTGGGAAAGGGATAGGAACAGAGGGGCTATAACTATCAGGTATGAGCTGGGTTAGGAGTGGGTTGGAAGAACCAGGGTTAGGTGGGTGGGTGCCTCCTAAGACAGTGACCTGGGGGGAGCTCATCCCATCCCAGTCAGCCACTGCTCTCAGTTTGGGACAGTAGGAGGATCAGGAAGAGACCCTCTCCCTCCCTCCTTCCTTCCTGATCCAGGGCTCCAACTCCACCAGCATCTCGATGGAACATGGCCACGTCCAGGTCAGTGGGGCCAGCATGAGCCTGGAGGCTGTGGTTAGTGTGGTCAGCAGCTGAGCCATGTCGAACCAGAACATTGTCCCTAGAAATACAGGAGACCCCCCCAATCAAGGACAGATGTGATGAGGTGCTTTGGGAGCTGCAATATCTTCAAGGACATGGCCAGCTGAGAGTAGAATGGTTGAAGGTGTCCCTGGGTGTATAGCAGGAAACATCTGGGGCAGTGGCAGCAACAGGCCCCCAGGTGGCTGAGATAGGTAAAGTCACCCACCTTAGGATCTGGTATTGCCAACCCCCTGGTGAAGGGGGACTGGTCTAAACCTCATGTGGCCACTCACCTGAGGTAGCCGCGGCCCCGCTGGCTGTCCTGGTCCTGGGTCCGGCCAGAGCGGGCACTGCTCACTGAGGAGACGGTGGAAGCACCAAGAGTGATGCGGATGAGGCCACTCTCTTCAAAGAGGGCCGTGTTATTGTAGGCCCCAGGCCCCTAAGGATGGTGGGCAGGACAGGGGTGTGAGCCAGCCCTGAAGGACTACCAGGGTCCCCATCCTGACTCCCCAGACTTGGAAGCCCCTCACCGTCCCAGGTGCTGGCCTTGTCTCCTCTGGTGCTGCCTTCCTACTCAGACAGGCTGGTGTCCAGGCAGCCCGAGCATCTGCATTCAGGACACAAAAGAGCAGCAGCACTGCCAGGCCCTGGAGGTGAGCAAGGATCAGGGTGGGGTCAGCAAAAGTCACTAAGAAAGGAGTGGGTTAGGAGTGGGTTGGAAGAACCAGGGTTAGGTGGGTAGATGCCTCCTAAGAGATCAAAAAAGTCAGATAAGATCAGAGGAGGGCCACCAGATGTCCCTGTGGCTCAGCAAGAGGGGAGTCAGTTATTGCAGGTTATTGAGCCAGTGAAAAGTCCAAGGAGGGCTTAGAAAAGTCAGCAGGATCTGAGCAACAGGAGTAACTGGAGTCAGTCAGCAAGGGGCCAGGAACACAGTGTTAGTGAAGGTCTAAGCAGCACACAGCCTGACAATGTCTAGTTCAGAGTCAGCTCCAGGCCTGGGGCTAGCAGTTAGGGCCCGTGATTGGTCTGGAGTAAGCACCCAGCCTGGCAATAATTGTTACCCACTCAGAGTGAACTCCAGGCCTGGGGGCAATGCCTTGCCTGGGCTGGGCCCAGCCTGCTGAAGCCCCCTCTGGTTCTGGGATAGAGGAAGGGTGTGAAAGGTACCTGGAGGCCACAGAGTCCAGCATGGAGGTAGTGGAAGGCCAGGATGCTGTGGTTGACTGCCAGGAGGCCAAAGAGCCAGGAGGCACTGACCAGCAGGAGGAGCAGAAAAGAGCTGCGAAGGGTCCTGCTGTGAGGACATGAGAGGACACAGGAGGACACAAAGGGGTCACACTAGAAGAACAGGAACTTTATGGGGAAATGGAAGTCTCAGAAGAACACTAGGGGAAATGGGAAGTCACACAAAGAACCAGGAAAGCACTCAGGGAGCCATGAAAGGACATGGGGAAAATGGAAGAGTTCGGGTACCATGAAAGAAAACATGGAAACACATGGGGCAGGGGAAAAAGTGAGTCACCCAGACTTTGGGTGACAGAGACCCTGGGAAGAGCCAGGGAACAAGGAGATGGTAGCATGGAAGCACATGTGGGACCAGAGAGGGACCCCAAGCTAGGGAAGGCATGACTTTATCCAGAATTTAGAGCCCGACCTATACCAGGCAAGGATGCTCTGGGGGCTCCATATTTTATCCATAATGGGTCTTCCATCTGTGAACCCCCCTTTTTCCCCAGTCAACTCACAGCACAGAGGTCTTCTTGGTTTCCCTCTGTCCTGTGGAGCAGGATGTGCGGGCAGCAAGGAGAAACATGGTCCCATTCATCTGGACCCATGGTGGACATGTGGGGTCCGGGTAGGGCAAAGAGAAAGAGAAGAGATAGTGTGAGACAGGGACACAGAGAGACCAAGACTATACATAGGGGCAGAACCAATGATAAATTCATATACACGCACACACACAAAGATAGATCAGGAACAAAGACAGTGGAGCTTAGAATCACAGGAAAAGTTAGACATAGGGAGCCAGAGAGATACTGAGAGATGGAGACAGAGAGAGATGCAGAAAGAATCAGAGAGAGTGGCCAAGTCTCTGACCTCAGGCCCTCCATCTCCATGCCAGCTAAGTGGGGATTGGTCACTCTGTGACCAGACAACAGAGGTAAAGAGAACCCAGGAAGCCTATGGACTGCCACCTCAGCAGATTCCACATTTTCTGCAAGCCCTCTCCCTTTGTCCTGGGAGGGAAGCACATGGTGGCACCAACTGCTGGGCACTCACCACAATGACAAGGATAACAGGGCCAGCAAAACTCCAGATGAGGGGTTCATGGATAGAGATCCAGCAGAAGTCAGGGTTCCCGTAGCCCTCAGGATCCAGGCCAACAGCAAGGCCTTGGAAAGAGATGGGGAAGGACCAAAAGGGTGTCTTCTAGAACTATAGAATGACTGAAAACCCCTTGTGTGGGGGGAAAATCTGGGAGTAAGGATGAACAGGTTCTTCCTTGAGTAGATGGCATTGGGGGGCTGGGGTTAGGGGTCATGATCAGGACTAGGGATATGGTCAGGGTTGGAACATGTGATAAGTGAAGATTTTGGGGTCACATCCCTGAATAGATAAGTGGGCAGGGCCTCACCCAGCAGCACAGCAGGGACACCCCAGCCCAGGGTGTGGTAGAAGCGCATTGCACCGCGGTCCACATTGCGGGGCTCAACCTGCATGCGGTAGAGGTGCAGGCCCTCTACCAGGAGCCATGCAAAGGTGCTGAGGAAGAAGTAGTGCAGGAGGATGGCAACCGCAGTGCACACCAGCTGAAGGCAGAGAAGGAGACATCAGCCCATCTCCTGCCTTGCCCTACCTCTGACCCTACTGCAGGCATCTGCTTCCCATCTCTGACTCTTAAACCATAGCATCTTACCCAGCATATTGTCCCAAACTCTGACCCCAACCTGAGCTTCTAAACTTTGGCCCCAGGCCTTCCCAGGTTAGGTGGGGTCATCAGGACACAGGTTCCCTGGCCCTGACCCTGCACCTGGTTATGGGTCCTGTGAATCCCCAGCAGGAAGAGAAGCTCTGCCACCCCCAGGGCAGCTGCTACATTGGCATGGATCCCACGCACGTTGGACTTGAGACTACGTAGGCTCAGCAGGACAGCTGCAGTCAATACCAGTGCAGCCACAGACACTGCCACAACCACATGGGTGAACACAGCCAGAAGCTCCAAGTCACCTTCTAGCCGCTGTGGAGACAGGGATGGTTATTGGGTGTTGGGCAGGACCTCCCTGCCCTTTCAACCTCCCATTTCCTCAGAACCCAGAACACAGCCCCACCTCACGGGGGGAGGCATCCATGAGAACACCAAAGGTGCCGGTCCGGCTGCAGCGACACCGTGCGTGGGACCCATTCCTGTGCACCAGCTCACAGTCCCGTGCTGTCCACGTGCCATGCTGGTCCACCCTGCAGCCACAAGACAGTTAGACCTACCTTTCCCAACAGGGAGTGCCCACTACTAGAATTTGTAAGAGTTGGTGTAGGGGCTGCGAGTTCCTGAAGTTGGGGAGCAGCATTCCTCATGGACCTAGTTGCAAGGCAGCATGGGTAGGGAGCTCAGAGGAAGGCTGGGACTATCAGTTGGCCTCTCAGAGGCTAAAAGGGGAACCAAGGGAGGGTTTCCAGAGCAGGGATCCTCACGGGCCAGGTGGGTCCCATTGCACGCAGATCGCCTTGCTCCGATTCGCTGTCTGCAGGAGGCGGAACTCAAGGCTAATGGGGGACTCCAAAACACCCTTTAGGAAGTTGCGTCCATGGAACACAGCCACGCTGACCACCGGGGAGTTCATAACAGGGTTCTGGGGAAGCCTGAGGAGATACCCCATTTGGGCTTGGTCATTATTGACTTCTGATCTTTTCAAGCTCTAAATAGCAATCTCATCCTATCTTCATACCATCTACCATGGCTGACCCAGGGTTTAGGATGCCCCTGGAGTAGATGCTGCTTCTAAGAATGCCTCTAGCCCCTGCCAGCCTGCCATGGGGCTTTAGATTCACTGCCCAGATTGGGATCTGAGCAGCTTTTGATGGTCTACAACTGTTTGACCCAATCTTTCCCCCTCCCACCTCGATCAGACCATCAATTCCTCAGTCATTATGTCTCAGTTAGTTGGCCTATCTGCACCTGTTTCACATACTCCTCTTGTATGATTGACCCATTTGTGCTCCATGTCCATCAGCCTTCACCTCTTCTACTCTGCACAAATCCAGAGAAAATTCACACGGTACCTAAATTGGATAGGTCTTGGAGCCGTGCACAAGGACATCTCTGTATATCTGTGAACCTGTGCATCTGTCCACCAAATAAGGAGGTACTAGGCTAGGTAGAAGCTCACAGAAAACTCAAGAGTGAGGGGCCTGAGAATAGTTCTACTCATGGTACCTGGCACCCCGGCGCTCAGCTTGGAACTGGGCAGGGAGTAGCCCCCCCAAGGTGCGGTACACGAGGAGGATGACAATGGAGATCCCAGATTCGGGCTCAGGCTCTGGAGGGGCTGATGAAGGGACCACACTTGAGGCAGTAGAGTTTTCCATGTTGCTACTTGTGGGAAGAACTGACAGGAGAGAGGGAAGAACCATTGTCAAGTGACCTCTAACCTATAAGACCCACAAATCCAACATTGAACCCAACCCAGCATCAAGCACAAGGATCTCTTCCTTGCAGATCCAGAACCGGGGAGTACGGAGAGCAGGCACCCATGAATGAAATATTCCAGGCCTGGGAAGTATCATCTGTGGTGAAGGAGAGGATCTGGCAAGTGAGAGTGTAGCAAGGTGTAGGGTAGAGGGTTAACCTGGAAGGTCACACTTAGGAGATCTGAAGCAGGAAAGGTCTGATAAGGGGAGAATCAATAAGAGGGCAACATGGTGTCTGTCTTGAGAGAACAGGAAAACAGGACTTGGTCAGGGATCACCCAAAGGTTCTCACCTTCAGATGGGAAAGACCGTGGAGTCTGGGAAGGCAGCAGCACATGAGTATGAGGATCCCAGGCATCTTGGCCCCGAAAAAGGTTGCTGTGGTAGCGGGGGTAGCGACGGGCCCCCCGAGTTGAACTAGGATGCTCCAGGCGGTCAATGCTGAGCACTGTCCAGGAGAAAGAAGAGTGACACCCATCAAGTACCTCCTCCCCATACCAAGAGTCTCATTCCCACCTACCCAAGTATCACAAGTCACATTTTCCTTGCCACTAGTGTAGAGACTGTCCATACAAAGCTTGTCACAGCCTCCTGCCACTATTTGCATTATCATCTGTAGCCCCTCCAAACTCTAGGCCCCTGCCTTTTGCAGCCCCAGTCCTGCCCCACCCACCACGCACTGATATTGGGTGTCACCAGTCCCACAGGATTCAGGTATGTGAGTTCCATATTCCTTGCGAGTGTGGCTGCATATTCCTCCAGATGCTGCATCAGCCCTGCACTGCCTGGGGAGTCCTCAGGGGCCCGCTGCCCCAGCGCTGCCCACAAGTTCCCTGTCTCTGGAGCAAGCAGTGCAGAGCCAGTCCACAGCAGATTCTGAGAGAATAGAAATAAAATTGAGCTCAGCCAGGTGGTGAGGATATGCCAAGGGAGAGGGCAGGCATGAGGGATCTGGCCAGGTGCTCAGAGGGACTCCAAGAGGCTAGAGGGCAGAACTGTGGAAGATAAGGGAAGAGAGAATGCCCAGGTCCTTCACTTCTTCAAAGATCAGGAAGGACCTGAACTGGGGATCCAGGGCTGGAGGACTAGGGAGTCAGGGCACATGGAGCTGGGAAATGGGACCAGGGATCTGTGAATATAGGGCATAGCCCTACCTCATTGAAATGGGCATCTTGTGTGGCTGTCAGCCCAAAGCCCTGCTGATGGCTCTCAAAGGCCAGTAGGTAGGCCAACAGGCGGGAAGTGACTCGGACATCTTGGCTAAAGTAGCGGTCAGTGTGGCCAGTCACCTCCCGTAGCCGTTGAGCCAGCTTCTTGGCCTCCACAGTATCCAGTGCTGTCTTGTTCAGCTCTAGGCCATCCAGCTGCCAGGACAAGGATGGGAATGGTTGTTCTGTCATCCTGTGGGCTTTTCTCAAGTCTTACAGGGAGAAAGACTGGGACAGATTAAAGGATAACCAGGAAAATCCTTTTGGGTCAATAATTAGGGCATGATATTTGGTGCCCACCACAGGCCTGGGGAAGTTGAATCCAGGCCCAGGGCCAAGGAAGGTCTAGGCAGTCTCACCAGCAGACTGAGCTCTCGAAAGGCAGGGGAGGTACAGTTGAAGAGGTCAGGCTCCAGCCAACCCCGATCCTCATCACATAGTCTCACAGCAGCACCTGGGGGCAGGCAATACTTGGTCAGGCCTAGGGCCTGGATACCTTTACTGACAGGGTGACCCTCTTCTATCCCAGGGGGAACCCTGAGACAGAGGCCAGTGTAACAGGCATCTATGGCTAGATGCCTGGATGTAGCAGCCCAAGCCCAGCTGCTTGTTGGTCAATTCCTGAGGGGTCTGTGGAACATTCTTATCACCAAGCACATAAAGGAGAGCACAAGGATGGTGCTGCACACACACACACACACACACACACACACTCACACACACAATTATTCTCACACAGGCATGGCAGGACAGACACATACACACTGGCCAACGTTCATACTCATACACTATTGCTTAGCTGCACAAACACAGACATGTGGACCAGGAGAAGTGTGCAAATACTTGATGATCTCTCATACACACGCAAACACACTGATTCAAACAAGGTCTTCCAGGATTATAATGTGACACAAGTGAGATGGGGTTGGGGTTCTCATACAAGTTTTATCTGCCCCACTGGTGACTTTGCTGTCATTACTCTCCCTTATCTGTGGGGTTGGGATGTAGTTGACTAAGACATGACCGGATCTTAAGCGAGATTATAGCCACCAACAAAAGGGACCCTAACTTAAATATAGTACCCCATTTTCCCAAAAGAGAGTCATAGACACGTGCACAGGCACAGTAAGACACACACATACACATAAGCATGCACACACAGACAATCTCTGTCCAGCCACTGCAGAGACCTCAAGCAGCAGAGAGGTTCTGAGGGACTCTCAGGTGGCAGGGAGGAGCTACTGGGTCCTCAGTCAGAGGGAAGGGGTATTTTGTGACCTCAGTCCGTATGGATAGGCCTACAGGGACCTCAGGAAGTGAGGAAAGGCCAATACAATTCCTTATTAGGGAAGGGTTGGCAAGGGTCTTAGGAAGTGGGGAGGGATCTGTAAGATTCTGAGGTGACAGGGAGGGGTCTCTGAGGACCTCAGGCATCTTCAAACAGCAGAAAGAGGCTTCCAGGAACTTTAGGCAGTTAGAAATAGATTTTAGGGACCTCAGGCAGCAGGGAGGGGTCTGCAGGGACTTTAAGCAGCAGGAAGGATCTGCAAAAGCTCAGGCAGTGGGAGGAGGCAGTGCACCTGAGCAAACACGTACCCCTTACCTGCACCCCGCAATCCTGCCCAGAAGCCAAGAGAAACAGATGGAGGCTTAATGAAGGTGTAGGAAAGAACCCAGAGCCCTTAGAAGGTAGTGACGGGCCCACAGGACTCCCAACCCATCCCACCTTTTTACAGGTACAAGGTCACCCCACTCAAGAAAAGTAGCTCTGACCATCAGAGAATAGGCCCACCCCTGCCATCAGCAATGCCCCTATTTCTCATACTTACCTAGGGCCCCCCGGGGACAGGGCACTGTGGCCAAGACACCAAACTTGGTTTGGGGCCACCACACACCCGATCTCAGGGACTTGGGGCAGGCATCATAGAGCACTAGGGAAAGAGGAAGCTCTGAGCCAGGTAGCCAGGGTCTAAGGCAAGTGACAGCCACACCTACTACCCCTGTACCACACACCACTGTAGACCCACCACTCCCCTGTGGACTTCTTAAGAGCTGGCATGTCACATTCTGTGACAGGTCAGCAAAGTATTTGGGGTAAATATGAAGCTTCCTGGGTAAAACTGGTCTGGTCTCCCTCAGAAGCTTCCCAGAGCCCCCCTACCCAGAAGCCAAGCATGCCACTGATCCTTTAGTGGCAACTTGCTGGAACCAACCCTCTACAGGTGGAGCTGGGTGGAGCTTGCTCACCCCGGCAGCCGCTGGCTGTCACCTCAGCAAAAGGACTGTCACAGCTGTTGCACTGGCGGCCAAGGGCTCCTGGGCGGCAGGGGCACTGTCCACTATGGGGTGCACATGATCGCGAAGTGGAACCAACAGGGTAGCAGTCACAAGGGAAGCATGAGTCACTGCCCCGTGGTCGATAGTGGAACTCCTGTTTGAGGATGAGTCAGGGGCCTGAAGTCAGAAGTCAGGGCTTAACATAAGAGTCTTAGGTCAAGGCTTGGGGAGCAAGCAGAATTAAGGGCAAATGGTAAAGACAATAGGAACATTGGTCTCAAATGAAGACAAGGAAGATGTTATGGGATGAGGAGGAGAAATGATAACTAGGTCACAGAATTCAGGTAAGAGGTTAGGGCCCAAGTCAGGTGACTGAGGTCAGCCAACTGGACAAGAATCATAGATCATACTTAGAGGTTTTAAAGGTCAGGGTCAGGGGCCAGGCAAACCTTGCAATGACACTGCCCATTTGTCTTGTTGCAGCTGGGGTCAAAGCCCTTGTGAACATCACAGTTGCAGGGACCACATGTTGGGCTCCCCCACCAGCCCCGTGGGCATTGTTGGTCCATCCTGGGGATAAGATGAGGTGATAAATGCTTCCATAATACTTCAGTGACCCTCCCTATCCCCACCAGCTCTTTCCATCATCCAGCCCCCAGAGTCTCACCTGTGTTCACAGTGGTGACCAAAATAGCCACTTGTACAGTCACAGGTATAGCCATGGGGGGCTCCTGGGAGGTGCCGGCATGAACCCTGGTTCTGACAAGGGTTCAAGAGGCAGGCATCCACACAGCCTGGGCCATAGTAACCTGCAAATTGGGTCAGGAAGCTCAGGACACTAGTCACAGAGCATGGAAGGAAGTAGGCACTTCTCCCTCTCAATTCCTGCCTCCTCTAGGCCCTGCAGCCTCCCAGTCTTTCCCATAGGCCCCTGGCTTCTTCCCAGATGACCCTCTCAAGGCCCACCTGGCTGGCAGGTACAGGAAAAAGTCTGCCAGAGATCTCGGCAGTCAGCGTGGGGTGGGCAGGGCCCAGATGCACAGGCGTTGGTCACGACACAGCCAGGCTCCACATTCACTTGGTGGGTGGGGGGTAGCAGGGCTGGGGACCCCAAGGGTGTAGAGCCAAGCCATACCCCCTATGGACACAGCCAGCAAGGGATAAGACTCATGTCAAGGCACCTCAGCATCAAGTCCTGTAGAGCCAGCCACCCAGTCTGATGACCCCTGACATACAGTCTCCCTCAGGTCCCCCCAAATCCCAGCCCCCCCAAACCCCAGCTTAGCCCCCCATTGGACCCCAAATTGTGCTATTTCTGATATAGATCATTAATGATTCTTGATAATCTAATCTAGACTCTTACTTTCCACACTTCAGAAAGGCTTGACTAATCTCTGAATGCTCTGGGTCATTTATCCCCCAATATCAACTCTACTTGAATGCTATTTTTCAGCTCCTGATATCTGACCATTATAGGAGCCCCTGATAGCTGACCACTAACCCTAATGCCCCCATATCATATTCTCATGCTGACCCCCACCTGGATACAGCCGACCAGACCCTGAGGAACATCCTCCTTACTGCTGTGGGGCAGGCCTCCCACGTGGAGTTGCTTTACCTTCAGGCCCTGCAGCTCACTCCCCACTGTCATGGTGTCCTAAAGAAGGGAGACGGTCAGCACTGAGGGAAGGGGGTGACTAGTGGACTCCTGCCATACCCCAGAGTCAGTATTAGTCTTTTTCTAACTCTGCATGACCATATTCTCTGTATCAGAGGAATAATGTGGAAATGAGCTACTTCCAAGTACAAAGAATCTTCTGAGGCATGGAGGATGCATAATAGAATAGTTGCAGTCAAGAGCTGGGCTTGGACAGGCCCCTCCCTCCTGAACTCAGAGCAGACCTTGAACTTCCATGATTTTGACCTGAAGTAGTAAGGATTGGGGTGAAGACCAGAAGGGTCTTTTAGGAATCAGGCAAAGTATTGGCTACAGAGGTACCCCCAAGACTAGGTCAGATATCTGGGTATCCTTCCTGATATGAAGAGGGCCTTGACAGTGGACCAACCTAGCTGGTGGGATGGGCTTAGAGCAAGGCTATGAGCAGGGAGACTGGGGGAAGAACATTAGATTTGGTGCAGTGATGGAGTAGAGAGGACCTGGATTAGAGGTGGGGTCAAATAAGGTAAATCTGATTGGAAAACTGAAAACAGACTACACTGGGGTTAGAGGTCAGACCCGGAAGAGGCTGAAGTCCAGTGAGACCATGAAGACGTGGTGGCCCCGCCGGCCACCTGGCTCCTCCTGTAACTCCAGCCGCACATCATGCCATCGGCCATCATTGACAGTCACTTGGTCTAGCAGGAGGTAGGCAGCACGGCCTGAACCCCTGGTTACCGTCACAGATAGCAACCCTCGATCTAGCTGTGGATAGAGATAAATAGCCCCAAGGTTAGAATCCCAACCTGAGTTATGACTGGAAGATGAGATGAGATGAGAATATCAGAGGTCAGAAGAGTAAAGTCAAGGCTATATCTGCCACACAGGGGACACCATGTTGCTGACATGGATCAGTAATAGACAGGGAGCAAATGAAAGGACCAGGGGGTCATGGATTGATGCAGTTAGCACAAGAAAAAGCTATGCTTAGGCCCTGCACCTGCAGAGAATATTGTGGTAGGGAAAAGTCAAGGGTCCAGAGCAGAGTCTAGTGCAGCTAGGACACCTGGCAGAGAAGTATGCCATATGATCAGCCTGAATCCATAGAAATGTTACTGGAAGTATCAGAGATTGATGGTTGAGGGTGTATGAAGGGATCAGAAGGACAAACACACCTGGCAGAGAAGCGTGCTGTGTGGCCCAATCTGTACTTGCATCAGGACCCCGTGCATCGCCCATGTCCGAAATGCTAGCCCCAGGTACCATGGCACAGTCACAGCCATGTCACTTCCAAAGTCCCAGCTCAGTGAGCTGTTGCCATGGAAATGGTAGGGATGGGCCATGGCTGAGGAGATAAGAGAAGCAGGGTCACAGCCCCTATTCTAGAAACAGACCTTACCCTGCAGACCCCTCCTGCCCTATGCAGCCCACTCACTGAGCCGACAGTCTTTGCCACCAAAGCCCACAGGGCAGTCACAACTGAAGCCACCCCAGCGCTCTGAGCAGAAGCCACTATTCTTGCAAGGGCTTGAGTCACAAAAGTGCAGCTTGGCCTGGCAGCCTGGAAGAGGAAGGCATATAGAAGATATAAAAATATGAGGTGAGGGCATGAGTGCTAGGTGCAGAGGGGCCAAAAAACAGCATGATCTCAGCTTTGTGTTCACTGGTGGGGGAGAGGTGGGTAGGAGTAAGGCCCTAAAGGCTGGGCTCTAGCAGCCTTGCCATCAAAGGAGACTGGGTTGAGGTCAGATATGGAGCCACCCCATGCAGCCCTGCAGAACCCTCTTATGATTGGGACAGGGCCACAAGTGAGGCTAATGGAAGCTTTGTGCCTACCTGCCATGGTGCCATTGTTTGCAACAAAGGCCGCCATGTCCACTCGGCGGCCATCAATATGCAGGTCTCGCATACAGCCAATGAAGTCCTTGTGGGACACGGGGAAGTTCTCGGGGAGGTTGGGGACACCCCCCAGGAGCAGAGGGCCCGTCAGGTCCAGGGACCTGGGAGTCAGGGGCCTGGGTCATTGGTGGAACTGGGGCCAAAGTAGGATTGCTCCTGGAGGCCACAGGAAGTAGGGGGTAGGACTCAGAGGAAAGGGTAAAAAGCAGGGAGGAAAAGGCCATCTGGGGAGGGAACTGGGGGCTTATTCCAATTGTGGGGGCACAAAGGAGAGATCATGATGATGTGGGGAAAGATGGGCGAGATGGAGTCAAGCAAGGGTCATGATGAAGGAGTGAGGCATCCAGGTGACTGGGGCAAGTGATGGAGAAGTGGGTTTGGGAGGTGATATCAGTAGGCTCAGAGTCCTGGAAGGCTAGATAGAGATCAAGGAGCTGTAGGTGATGTATGGCATTAGAGACTTGGATGGGAGAGTAGAGGCTTTGGAGGACTGGGTACCTGGGAACTTGTGCATGGGAGCAGGGAGTCAGGGATAGAATACAGGATTGGGGGCTAGGGTGAGGAGGCTTCTAAGGTCTTTAAAGGGAAATCTGGTGGTTTGGAGAAAGGATGGGAAGTTTGGCAGGCTGTGGTGAGGAATGGGGTATGTGAAGGGTTGGGGTAGGCTTTTATAGTCAGAGGATATGGGGACCACGGGATGGGGGCCTCACTTCTTGGAGCTTGTTTGCACACCAGCAGCAGCACATGAGTAGTTGCCAATTTCAGCACCAAACTGCAGAGCTACAGCCACATTGCAGTCATCCACACTCAACACAGCAACCTTGTCCTTGGAGGGGCCCTGAGCACCCCCTAGGGCATCTGTCCGGGGCTAAAAATCCAGGCACACCAGTCAACTATGCCCAAGGGTAACCCCTGAGAAGCAGAACTCAGAATCCCCATGCACATGCACGCGTGCGCCCCGCGTGCGCCCCCCCCCACACACACACACCAAGCCAGGGGTGGTGCCTACCTTGTTGTAGTATTTTAGATGCACTGTATGCCACTGCCCATCACTCAGGCCCCCTGGAATTGTGGGGCTGACCACTGTATTGGATTCACCTGTGGGGGATATGCAAGTGGAGTGTCCTCTGGAGCTGATGAGTTGCTCTACCCTCACCCAGCTCATATAGCATATTCCCACAGTCATCCTGGATGCATCAGATCAGTATATCTCCTGGTGACCACACTGGTTAGAACAGAGTGGCCTTGAAGAGACAGGAGAAACATACACTTCTTGGAGAGATGGACCTTCCCACAGGGAATGGACATGGAGCTGGGTTCTCACTGTTGTCTGTTTGGCACTGAAGTGTGTTGAACAGTGCTATAATGAAGCAAACCTGAGGGGAACTTGTGGACTGCATTTTCCAGCCATCCCATGCACACACTGTCATGTACATCTCCCAGGGAGCACCCACCAGTGGAATATGTGAGCCGCACTTGGCCAGCCACGAGCTCCAGGGCCAGAAAGTCATGCTTCTCATTCAGGCGCCCATTATAGAAGAGTAACCCGCTGTGCTGCACCGTCGCAAACCTGGGTGGAGTGGAGTGGGGACATTAGGAACCAAAATGACCTCACACCTACCATCCTTGAGGGAAGGCTCGCAGGTCACCCGCCCAAGCTGGAGCAAGAGAAGACAAGACACACCAGTATACTGATGGCCAGGGTACTGATGCTCTGAGACACCCTAACTAACTTCAGGGGAGGGGGCGGTGTCCTGTGGGGACTTCAGGATGGGGCAATCAAGAATCTTAAGGTCATGGAGGTAGGGACGGAATGGAGGCACACAGAGACACGGGGCGGGCACCTACGAGAGGGACAGCGTGAGGTGGAAGCGCTGCCGCAGGCCACGGAACATGACGAACGAACTGGGCGGGAACGAGCGTGCAGCCACCTCACAGCGAGGGCCCTCGAAGGCGCCGCCCGCAGGACACTGGCAGCGGAAGCCGCCAGTGGGTGCATCAGTACAGGTGCCCCCATTGCGGCATATGCCGGGCACGCAGCGTCCGGCCTCGGTGTCCAGCTCGCAGTCTTCTCCTGCGGAGCAAGACACTTTCAGAAGCCATCATGGCCATACCCTGCCCACGCTGGAGCACGACCAGCCCAAGCCGAGCCTCCAGGCGGGTTCCAAGACCTCTGATTGGTCGAGCTACCAGAGAGTACGCCCTCTTTCAGTCTAGCCTCGCCCCATTCTTCCCGCCCAGATCTGATCACACCCCCTTATCGCCTGGCCCTTGGCCACGCCTCCTTCACAGCTCTTCCAGTCTGAGGCTTTTATTCCTTGTGTTCTTAGGCTTTCTTTAGGCTGGGCTCTATGATTTCAAATGTAACTGAGCCCATACTAACCCCGTTGCCTCAAAAGTGATGTCCAGTCCGCACTTGTACTATAGTCCCGCCCCCAATTTTGCACGTGTTCACCCAGCTCGGTCCAACTTTCAGCCCTGTGTGGGACTCACCGGTAAAGCGCGGACGGCAAACGCAGGTGTAGCCGCCTTCTCGCTGCGCGCAGGCGCCGCCATTCCGGCATGGGTTCGAGTAGCAGAGGTCCAGCTCAGTCTCGCAGAAGTCACCAGTGAAGCCAGGCGGGCAGCGGCAGCGCAAGCCCGCGATAGGCTGGATGGGTCGGAAGAGCGTAGAGGTGGAGGCCAGGAAGGGTGCGGATGAGTCAAAGCGGAGCACCGACACACATTTCATATAGTTCTCACAGGGCTCACGCAGGCACACGTTATCGTCAAAGGGCAGGACATCCAGCAGAGAGCGGGCAGCAAGTGCAGCACGACGAACGTACAGCTGCTCCTGAAGTTCCTCAGAGCTAAACCAGGGCCCAGCAGCTCCCGCCCCCGCCCCACGAGGTGCTAGAGCAGAGAAGCTCACATTAAGCACCGTGCCCCCGACATCTGTGTCATTCTGTATGTTAAAGATGAAGACGTCCTCGGTGGGTGTAGCAAGCACTGCAGCCACGCCTTCCAGGAAGTGGCCCAGGAGCGGTGACAGAAAGCGCTCCTGCCACATGTTCTCCAGACGTACAGTCAGGCTGTTAGCCAGCAGTTCCTCCGTGATGATGACCACCCGCAGCACACACTGCGCTGTCACACTGTGTAGGCCATCTGCAGAAAGGGGTATGTATGGATAGTGATCAGCCTGGGATTAGCAGCTGCCTTTCCCTGGGACACAAGAGGGCTATGGCTAGTGACTCCAGTCCCCAGTATCTCTGAGTCAACAGGCTGAACCCACCAGGACACAAGTTGAGTCTGGGACTAGTGACTACTAACTCCCCCAGCGTCATAGCATCAGCAATTTGCTGCTTCTTCCCCAGCCCCAAAACAGAAGGTGGCTGGGTCAGCAAGCCCATGGTTAGCAAGTCACTCCAACCACACTCAAGAAGGTCCCTAATGCTGGGTGTGGTGGTGCACCTCTGTAATTCCAGGGACTAGGAAGGCTGAGGCAGGAGGATCCCAAGTTCAAGAACAGCCTGGGAAACTTAGCCAGACCCTATCTCAAAATAAAAATAAACCTGGGAAGGGTGTTGCACACCTGTAATCCCAGCAGCTCTGGAGGCTGAGACAGGATCCGAGTTCAAAGCCAGCCTCAGCAAAAAGCAAGGCGCTAAGCAACCCAGTGAGACCTTGTCTCTAAATAAATTACAAAATAGGGCTGGGGATGTGGCTCAATAGTCAAGTGCCCCCGAGTTCAATCTTTGGTACCAAAACAAATAAATAAATAAATAAAAATAAAAGCTCAGTGGTAGAGCACCCTGGGTTCAATCCCTAGTACTGGGTTGGGGAGCAGGCCCCTAAGTGCTCACTCCTTTATTCCTGTTAACATCAGCAGCCTACTCCACTCATGACACAAAGAGAAGTCAAGGTCACTGACTACACATTTCCAACTTCCTCCCTCACCCATCTCCAGCATGACAGAACCAGCAAAAACACATGCTCCAGAAACAAGGACAATTCCAAGTCAGGGATCCCAGTACCTTTCGTCAGCAAACTGAAAGGGACTCTGGCTAAGGGAACACTAATTGCAATTCCCCAGAATCCTGTGTCAACAAGCTCCAGGGGGATATAGTACCCTGACACTCCCATACCTCCCCTTACAAACATAAACCCACCACAACATTCTTCAATTAGCAAACTGCTCACCACCTTAGACCTGGTTTCAGTGCATACCCCCAGAGATGAAGGTGAGGTGCTTATCTGCCTTGTTCACCTTGTTCTCAGACCCTGGTACATGTTAGGAGATCAATAGATTGGTTGTTGCATGAATTATGAGTAAATGAAGGCTATGCTTTTTCTGACGGTGCCAGGACTCCCAGCTCCAAAATTGAGGAATGAGCACTGCTAAAGCCTATTCTCCAACCTCTGCAGCTTCCAGTAAGTAGGACTTCAAGAACCTCTTCAACTTGTTCTCCCCTCCTAATAGGAGGGGTTTGTGAAAGCCTGGAGAAGTGAAATCAGGAAAGAGGCGGGTGGGTCTCTGGACATTTCCCCAAGACCAGGGCCTTAGACCACAGCCAGGCCACTGTGGGCACACTCTCTGCTTGAAGCTGCCATAGTAAGCTGTTATTCCAAACCATTAAACTACTGGTCTCTTTTTCCTGCACAAATGGGGTAAGGGTCAGTCTGGATCTAAAGTAATCATTCATCTAAACATGGGCATGGTATGGACTAACTGGCAATCTGGTTCTGCCTGGGACCTCCAGAACATTATCTGAGGCCTTCCATGCCCTTTAGGGATAACAAAACTGTCCCTAGGGCAGCAGACAGTTGTTTACAATCTTTATGGTATATACTAGATGCCTTAGAATTTGGGGAGTTCTTAGGATACTATCCAAGAACCTAAGCAGAGTCCCTGTGAGGTCTATGGCAGATCTGTGGGGCACAGGAACTTAGAAGACTTGGAAATCACTATTTGATTTGAGGGTCTTTGGAGTTCCTGAGGCCCTGACAGCCTAGGATCATTGGGTCACTTGCCCGTTCCCTGCCCCTCACCTGTGACAGTCACCAACATGGAGGCTACCAGTGGGCGGTTGTTATCTAGCTTTCGGCTGAGTCGCAGTTCCCCACTGGTTTGGTTGACCACAAGCAGCTGCAGCTCATTGCCACGCTCAAAGGAGTAGAAGAGGTGATCAGAGACATCAGGATCATAAGCTGGGATACGCCCAATGATGCCCGAGGGGAAGGTGTCTGAGCGGTTTGATACATAGTTGTTGAAGAGGATCTGGAAGTTGTTGAGCACAGGACTGTTGTCATTCTGGTCAACTAGGCGGACATGAACGGTGGCCCGGCTGACCAGAGGAGCAGATGTGGCTTGTACCACAATCACATATTCCTGACGAGCCTCGTAGTCCAAGTCAATGAGTGCTGTCAACTCTCCAGAAAAGATGTCCATTTGGAACAGCTCAGGGATGTTCCCCTCTACAATCTGGTACATTATATGGGCATTGGGTCCTTCATCAGGGTCTATTGCAGTGATCTGGGCCACCACTGAGCCCACAATACTGTTCTCCTTCACTCGCACTTCAAACTCCTCAGCTGGAAAAACAGGTGCATTGTCATTCACATCTTGCACTGTCACCTGGATACTGACTGGAGTCCGCAGTGGGGGCACACCACGGTCCACTGCATAGGCAGTCAACTCATACACTGGTACTGCTTCCCGGTCCAGCCGCCTCACAGTCCGGACAATGCCAGAAGTGGGCTCAATGGTAAAATCTCCATCCCCATCTTCCCCATTCTGGAAAGTGTACTGGACCCGGCCATTGGCATGAACATCCCGGTCAGTGGCTGAGATCTGCAGGACACTTGTGAAAGGTGGAGCATCCTCAGAGACCAACCCTGTATAGTGGGAGGCCACAAACTGTGGTGCATTGTCATTCACGTCATTAACCATCACCTCTACATAAGTGGTATCTGCTTTCTGTGGGATGCCATTGTCCCGAGCAGTAATGGCCAGTGTATAGGTCACCTGGTCCTCATAGTCCAACGGAGCCTGTAGTGTAATGGCCCCTGAATCTGCATCAATACGGAACTGGGGCAGGTTGTCCTCCAGAAGATAGGTGATACGAGCATTCTCGCCCACATCATCATCAGAGGCACTGATGACCACCACAGTGCTACCCACTGGCCGATCCTCATTCATACTCACCGAGTAGTGAGCACTTTGAAAGACAGGCCGGTGAGTATTGGCATCTGTGATATTAATATGCACATAGCAGTGGTCATGAAGGGCACGGTCAGATGCAGTAAGCACCAGTTTGAAATAGCGTTCCTGTTTGTAATCCAGTGGCAGAGCCAGTGTCACTAGACCCACACCTCCTTGGGTGCTGATGGCAAAACGATTCCGGGTGTTTCCACCTGTGATCTGGTAACTGATGGCACTGTTGGCATCACGGTCTACAGCAGTCACACTGACCACACTGGTGCCCACAGCCGCATCCTCATTCAGCCGAAGGTGGTATTCTTTCATGGTGAACTCAGGCCGATTGTCATTAACATCTAGCACAGTCACTGTGACACTGGCTGAGGCAGAGAGCGGGGGTGAGCCATGGTCTCGAGCCTCCACACCAAAAAAGTAATGCTCCACAGACTCACGGTCCAGGGGACCACTCACAGAAACCCAGCCAGTGGCACTGTTTATTACAAATGGTGTATCAGGTGCCACACCAGTTAGGGAATACTCCAATCTGGCATTCTCCCCATGGTCTGCATCCACTGCCTGAATGTGGATGACTGAATGGCCGAGGGGTGCATTTTCCAGAACAGAGACCTGGAAGGGTGTGCTGACAAAGATAGGAGTGTGGTCATTGATGTCTACCACCTGAATGCTGACCAGGCCTGTGTTGTTGGACAAGGGTGGCCGGCCTGCATCTTGCGCCCGAATACGCAAGGCATACTCTCTCTCTGCTTCAAAGTCCAAAGGTGCCACTACCTGTATCTCACCCGTGAGGCTGTCAATAGCAAAGTGGCCACGGCTGTTACCACTGATGATGTTGTAGTGCACCAAACCATTGGCGTCCTTATCCCTATCTGTGGCTGTGACACGTAGCACCACCGTATGGGGGCGCACATCTTCGCGTACCTGAGCCACATAGCGCTTCTCGCTGAATTGGGGCACGTTGTCATTCTCATCAAGCACTGTTATATGTACACGAACGGTGGACGAGCGTGGCCCGGGCTCCTGGCCCTGGTCGCTGGCCTCTACCACCAGTTCGTAGCTTTCCATGTGCTCACGGTCTACGCGGCCGCTGGTGCTGATGAGGCCAGAGCGAGAATCAATCTCAAAAGCTGCTGCTGCTGCAGTGCGAGCAGCTGGCGGCCCCACAAAGCGGTAGCGCAGGTTGGCATTGGGGGGCGCATCGCCGTCTGTGGCACGCAACTGCAGGATGGGGTAACCCTCTTCCACATTCTCACGAAGTGTTTCCCGGTACTGAGCCTGCTCAAACACCGGCGCGTGGTCATTGCGGTCGGCTACTGTCACGGCCACCATGGTGGTGGCTGATAGGCGTGGTGAACCGTGATCCTGCGCTGTCACACGCAGGTAGTGGCGCTCCATACTCTCCCGGTCCAGAGCGGCAGCTGTGCGGATGAGGCCGCTCTGCGGGTCAATGCTGAAAAGTTCCAGCGAGCGGCTGTTCATGAGCGCCGCCAGAGAGTAGACTAGGCGCCCAGCCTCACCAATATCCGGGTCCTGCGCCACCACACGTAGCACCACGGTGCCTGCCGCCTCATTCTCGGGCACCAGGGTCTGGTAGTTGTACTGAGGAAACTGCGGGTGGCGGTTTGCTGCGCGACGGGGGCGTGACCTGTTCACTGAAGGTATTCGCCAGGTTTCAGAACCCGCGGGCGGTCCCGGGGGGCGCGGCCCCGGGCGCTGCGGAAGGAAGCGGCGGCGGAAGACACTACCCGAGCGCATGCGCTGCGGCACAGGCTCGGGAGCTGTCCGAGACTTGAGGGGTGCTGAACCCGCTGTAGGAGCTGTCCTCGCCGCACGCGGTGCTGAATCCAGTCCGGGCCCAGATTCCACAGCCCCGGGAAGACAGTCCTGCCGAGGGACTGCCCTGCCCGCTTGGGATGCTGTGGCTCTCTCGCCCTGACCCCTGCGCCCTAGCGCCCACAATTCCCTGCAACAACGCAAGGTTCCCACTCTTTTGCGGGAGCTTCTCCTAGCGTCACGCTGGAAGGACACTGGCTTTGGACCACTGGGCTGGGCCAGGAGGTCCAAACGGAAGGGCAAGCTGTTCCCTAGACCAGACCCCCCTGGGGACAGAGCCTCTGGCGAATGACTATCTCTCCGTCCGCAAGAGGAGACCTCTGGGCGCCAGCACAACAGGGGCCCTGGTCCCTGACTTGTCTCTCGCTGCTCAGGGGCCCCTCGGCCTCCCCAAGTGCTTTGCCTTCCCCCTCGGAGCCCCATGAAGACAGGCTCCCTAACTCCCAGGCCAGACCTCCCATTCTCCTGAGCCCCAGGCGACTCGGGACAAAGAGCCAAGGCTCCGCCGCAGATCTGCGTCCTTGGTCCCATAGCAGGAGCTACCCCCGGGTCCCAGCCCTGGTCTCCGCCACCCCCCAGTTCCTCCTGGCTGAGGGGGAACAAAGAGAGGAGGAGAAGGAACTGGAGTACCGGGGTCAACGGTCCCCCGAGACCCTGCCATAGCGGCCACCTCGCCATCATCCCCGTCCTCCTTGCACGGCCTCCACCACCCCCAGTCCTGGTCCGGGCCATGGGCCCGCCCCGCCGCTCGGGCCCCCTCCCGGGCCCCTGCCGCCGCCCCGGCCCCCCGCCCCTCGGCCTGTCGCTCCGCGCCGCTGCCTCCTTCTGGGCACCATCTACTCCGCGGCCAGAGCCCCTTTGGCATACGGCCCCGGCTTTCGCCGTCCCCACCACAGCATCCCCGACGCTGCTGCCGCCTCCCGCTGCACCAACATGGCTCCCGAACGCCCCAATGGTTCGCTCCACCTTCGCCCCGACGCCCCAAACCTGGTGGTACAACCCGTTGCGCATGGCAGCTCCGGCTGTTGAAGCAGATGCCGCCATCTTTATTGAGGACACAAGTGCTACCCACAGTGCTGAACAGAACACAGAGGTTCATGGTTGTTAGGTCCGCCCTCCCGGCTCTTGGCCGCCGCCCTCTCCCGCCTCTCTCCTCTAGGGCGCTATCCCGGCTCCTTTTTCTAGCCTTTCTTCTGCTTGTGGATCTCTTGTCCCCTTCCTGAACCCCATGTCCGATTTTGATCTGAAAATTCGGTGCTCATGATATGGTGAGAAAGTGCTCTTACAGATGGGCGGGGGTACCATGTGGAATCCTGGGGCAAGGAAGATGAAGGCCAGACGCTGCCCGGAGCCCCTGAAGCCTGAATGATAAATAGCTTTAACTATCTGATCCCAAGTTTAACTTATAAGATACGTCGCGACTGTTTGTTAGGAGTGCCCCTTCGTAACAGGCACTGGGGATGCCACTCCTGAGCCAGGAGCAGAGGTCAAACTCTTCCCGGTCTCGCCCGCCTTCAGCAATCTCCTGGGCTCGGGTTCCTCCCCTGGAAGCTACATTTACTCTCCAGGACACAGGTCCCGAGTGTTCTGGGATGCCACGTGGAGCCCAGTGCTGCCCTACAGCTGTGAGCTCAAGCTTCCTCAGATCCCCGCCCCTTGCCTACGACGATCACATTCCTTAACCCCTTCAAGGAACTGACAGAAGCTTAGTTTTCCAGGGTCCTGATTCAATCCAGCTCTCTCAACGCGGTCCAACTCCTGGCACACGCGGGTCTCGATTGGCCAATAGCTGGACACGGCGCAACAGACGTCACAGAAAAAGAGCTGAGGTATGGGTAAAAGCAGAGCATTCCAATCAAAGAGTCATTGTTTCTATTGGCACAATAGAAAGCCCCGCCCCTCACGGCGGACTCATTGTAAGGGGAGGAGGCTTCGCGGGTTCCAAGCTAGGTGGGAGAGAGAACCTGGGAGGCTCTATACCACCAGCCTCCACAGATGGCAGCGATAACGGGCTGCAGTACCAGCTGTAGAGCACGCCGGCATCTTGGCACCAAGGAAAGGGTCAGGGCCAGGACTGCTCTACTGGGTGCGGGTCTCCCAACCGGTGGATACTGCTTCAAACTGTCCAAGGACTCCAGGCCTTAAGACCTCTGACCCTCCTATGACATCATCACCAACCAATCAGAGCATTCTCTCTTAGACTTCGGGGAGGCTGAACCTAGCCTGTTAAACTTCCAAACGCCCCACTTGGCTGCTGGTAAATGTTTTTCAGCAATGACTACTTACCCCCCACCCCACATCGGGTCTGTCCTAACACCTTCCCCAGGATCAGAGCTCCATGCCGGTTGCACACTCTAGGTTCCTACAGTTTTGTGCACGCAGAGGTGGAGCATCTGCAGAGGAAAGCAGAATTCCTCTGAATGAAGACCAGTATGTGCGGGGACCAGAGGAGTTAGAGCCAAGACGTGGCTTTAATAGCGCCCACTGCTCTTTGGGTTCACAGCGTAATGACTGGAGGGCACAAAACCTGACGCCAAGGAAGGATGAAGGAGATGGGTGGGGCGCTAGTGGGGAGGAGAGGGAGGGGTTCCTGAGAATTGGTGCATTTGAGCCACCTTGGTGGTTTGAGAAGGCTTCCCACAGAAGATGCTTGAGTAATGCCTTTGAGGAAGGTGGCCCTGTGGGCAAATGTGCAGAGACCTACAGAGACTGTGGCTGAGGGAAATCAAGCCTTGCCCTATCACCTAACAGGGCTGGTCCTGGCTTCTGTGGGCACTCCTAGTGAACAGCAGCACTCCTTGACACCTCTGAGCAGTGGTGTCCACTGCAGGTGGCTCTCCATGTTGCTCCCTGATCTACCTGCCTCCACTGTTTTCCTCCTTTGTGGCTCCTGTTCTGTGAAGGCCACTTGCTGGCCTTGTCCTCCCATCTGCACTCATCTCTGTGCCCCATCCCCCGTGGTACCTCCCAATGCACTCCCTGTAAAGACAAAAATCAAGTGTCAGTGATAATTCCTCCCTCTACCTCAAAGTCTAGCCTTGCCCCTACCTGCTAGGAGCAATAATAAGACCCCTATATGGTTCATCCTCATTCTTTTCTTATCAGCTCCAAACTAGAATGTGCATCCAGGTCCCGGAGACCTAGATTTAAGGCTGCTGTGGAGGAAGTGGACAAAAGGCCAAAAGACCAAGAAGGTAAAGGTGTGGCCTTCTCAGCTCCTTATCTTTACCTCATATAATTCAATGCCTTATAGAATCCTTACAGTATTGCATGCCCTGGGTTCAATACACACACACACACACACACACACACACACAAATAGAACCCAGCACTATAACTTACCAGCTCTTTGCTGGGCTAAAATTTAACCTCTACTTAAAACAGACTCTTCATGTATTCCTCACTTTTGGCACAGCAGAACATTGCTAAAGAAAAATATATAACCCTGATAATTGGCCTCATTTTACATTTGTGATCAAATTATGGATGTAATAAAAATCCAAAGAACCTACAAATAAATTCTTAAAAGTGAGTTTAGAAAGTTGTTGAACAGAGTCAATATAGAAAAATCAGCCTAGTCAGGCTGTGGCTGTGGCTCAGTGGTAGAGCACTTGCCTAGCATGTGTAAGGCACCAGATTTGATTCTCAGCACTGCATATAAATAAATGAATAAAATAAAGATATATCACATCTAAACATTAAAAAAAAAATTAGCCTGCTGCCATGGCCCACACCTATAATCCCAGTGGTACCAGAGACTGTAGGCAGAAAGATCACAAGTTCAAAGCCAGCCTCAGTAACTCAATGAGGCCCTAAGCAACTTAGAGACCCTGTCTCAAAACAAAACATAAAAAGGGCTAGGATGTGACTCAGTGGTTAAGATTCCCTGGGTTCAATTCCCAGTATGGAAAAAAAAAAGAGAGGGAGAAAAGAAAGAAAAGTTTGTTGTAATTTCTGTATGTTGGCAACAGAAAATAAACTTTAAATTTTTTTAAAATACCATTTACAATAGCATTAAGTAATATCAAATGTCAAGGAGTAAATCAATGAAAGATATGTAAAGGGCTGGGGATGTGGCTCAAGCGGTAGCGCGCTTGCCTGGCATGCGTGCGGCCCGGGTTCGATCCTCAGCACCACATACAAACAAAGATGTTGTGTCCGCCGAAAACTAAAAATAAATAAATATATATATATATATAAAAAGAAAGATATGTAAAGACTCTACATGCATAAAAAACTATAAAACCTTGTTTAAAGAAATAAAAAAAAATGGAATGAAAACTGTCCTCAAAGATAGGAATAGTGAATACTGTAAAGGTACTATTTCTCCCCAAATTACAAAATTTGAGTTCATACAACTCCAAATGTAATCCTAGCAGATTGTGTATGTGTAAACTGACAAATTAGATTCTAAAAAATAAGGACAGGAATTCCCAAGACAGTCTTGAAGAAAACCAAAGAAGGAAAACAAGACAAGATTTAAAAAGCAACAGAAACTAAGACTGTAGGGTGCTGGCACAGGGATGGGTGCACTAATGGAAGAAATCCAAGGACAGGCCTAAAGATATGTGTAAACTTTGATTTTGACAAAGATGGCTCTATAAAATTAACACAAGAAAAGGATGGACTTTTCAGTAAATGGCCATTTGGATATCTCTACAGAAAAAAATTAAATGAGATCGCTATCTTCCTAACAACTGCATAATCAATTCCAGATAGATTTGACATCCAGATATAAAGGGAAAGACTATACAGCTGCAAGAAGGAAGTGCAGGAGAAGATCCTAACAATAACTTAAGGATTTTTTTTAACAGGACATAAAATGCACTAACTAAACCAAGTATGGTAGCACCCACTTGTAATCCCAGAAATTTAGGAGGCTGAGGCATAAGGATCTCAAGTTTGAGGCCAATCTCAGCAACTTAATGAGACCCTCAGCAACTTAACAGACCCTGGATGAAAATAAAAATGACTAGGGAGACAACTCAGTGGTAAATAGCCTCTGGGTTCAAATCCTTATTAAAAAAAAAAAAAAGTAGGGCTGGGGTTGTAGCTCAGTGGTATAGTGCTTGCCTAGCACATGTGAGGTACTGGGTTCGATCCTCAGCACCACATAAAAATAAATTAATTAAATAAAGATATTTTTTTAAAAAAGTATTAACTATAAAGGAAAAAACTGATAAACGCAATTACATTACAATTAACAACTTCCTTTTATCAAATGTCAACATTAACAATGGAAACACCCTGGCACAGTGGCACATGGTAGTAGTTTCAGCTACTCCAGAGGCTGGGGCAGGAGGATCACTTGAGCTCAGGGGTTTAAGACATTCTAAATCACAGACTCTGTTCCCTGTCTCAATATATAAATAAATAAAAGAGTGAGATATTATAAAATGTAAAACCTAAGGACTCATATCCTGAATACATATTACAAGTCAATGAAAGATAAAACTAATAGATACAGACAAGAGTTTTGAATAAGCACATCACAAAAGAAAATATCCAAATGTTAAATAACCAAACCTAATGAAAAGGTGCTCATATTCTTTAGTCATCAGGGAACTACAAACAAAAAAAATATCAGTGGGGCAGGGTGGTCCATGCCTGTAATCCAGCTACTCAGGAGGCTAAAGTAGATGTATCACAAGTTCAAGGTCAGCCTCAGCAACTTAGCAAGACTATCTCAAAATAAGAAATAGAAAGGACTAGGCATGCAGCTCAGTGAGAGCACTTGACTAGCATATACAACTCCAGGGGTCAATCCCCAGTACTGTAAAAATGTACACCACTCAGTAACATATGGATGGCTAAAATAAAAATGAAATACCAAGTTTTTGGGAAAATATATTTGTGTGTGTGTGTGTGTGTGTGTATCTGTATACATGTGTGTGTGAATTTTTTTTTGTTGGTGCTATGGATTGAACTCAGGGTCTTGTATATGTTAGGCAGTGCTCTACCACTGAACATGCCCAGCCATACCAAGTTTTGGGAAAGATAGGAGGAGAATACATTGCTAGAAATATTTGGAAAACATGGGCTGTGGTATAGCTCAGTAGTAGACCACCTGCCTAATATGCCAAAGGTTCTGAGTCCCATCCCCAGCACCATAAAGAAAGAAAGTATCTGCCAGTGACCCTATAATTCTACCCTTGGCAATATGCGCTCCCCCCCACCAATAATGCATATGAGCTACAAGAAAACTTGTGCACTAATGCTCCTCGTAGCTTTATTTATTTATGGGTACCAGGGATTGAACTCTGGGGAACTCAACCACTGAGCCACATCCTCAGCCCTATTTTGTATTTTATTTAGAGACAGGGTCTCATTGAGTAGCTCAGCCTCCCATTGCTGAGGCTGGCTTTGAACTCAGCCTCCCAAGCCACTGGAATTACAGGCATGCACCACCATGCCTGTCTATAACACTATTTATAATAGAAATTGAAAACAATTGAAAAGTCACCAACAATGGATGGATAAATATGGATACTGTCCATAGAGCACTGGGAATGAACAAACTGCAACCAAATACTATGATAGATGAATCTCAGACATTTAAGGATATCGGAAGCAAGACAAGGGTTTTTATCCCGATTCGAAGCTGGGGGTGTAACTTAGTGGTAGAGTGCTTGCCTATGATGTACTAGGCCCTGAATTTGATCCCCAGTAATGAAAAAAAAAACTGTATACTGTATGATTCCATGGCAAAATTTATGATTAACTCCAGGAAGGAGGGAGCAGTGACTGAATGATTAAGTGAGCTTGGAGACTGTAACATTCTATTTCCTTGCTCAAATTGTGGTTATATCAGCATTTTTCACTCTAAATTCATTGTCACTCTTTAAATATTTTTAAATAGTGTATTATTCAATAAAACCAAAAAAGGCTTGGCACAGTGGCTCACACCTATAATCCCAGCAGCTTAGGAGGCTGAGACAGAGGGGGATCAAGGATGAAGGCAGCCTCAGCAACAGTGAGGCACTAAGCAACTCAGTGAGACCCTGTCTCTAAATAAAACACAAAATAGAGCTGGCAATATGGCTCAGTGGTTCAGTGCCCCTGAATTCAATCCCTAGTACCCCACCTCCTAAAACAACAATTGTTCTCATTTATTTGGATCCTCTGTCTATCTTTTGAGGACTGAACAGGCAAGTGATCTCTTGGTCACCTGGAGTTGCTGTACATATGCAGTTGGGGTCCAGTCAATAGACACAGTGCCAGCACTCTTAAGCACTCATTTCTAACCCAGAAGTCAGCCCCAAACTTCTTTGCAACCACCTACACCTTCTTTTTTGAACCCAGGGCCTTTTGCATGCAAGGCAAGCATTTTACCAGATGAATTATATACCCAGCCCCTCCTGCAACTTCTTGAATTATCTTTTCAACTTTACCCATAAACACTCCCCTTTGAGTGCTCTCATTGCCCTCTTTCCTAGCCACATTCTACATCTACCAACCTTTCAAGCAGCCTGAGAGATATTGTCTCAGAAAATTCCCTAAGATTTCTGTGGTTGATCATAATCTTCCTTTGTGATGTAATTTTGTGAGACTGTCACTAGGTATTTGCTTAGGAAATCCTGGACTCCTTGGACTCCTCAGAGCATGTTTGTTACCAAGACCCAGCTTTTATATAACTTGTCAGCTAGGACTTCTGCAACCCTTACAAACACATGCAAGGGTCCCTTAGATGATCCTGCAAAAATGGGCAAGGGATTCTGCCATGGGGCCACAGTTTGTCCATCCTAGGTGCCAGCACTGGGATAGAGAGTATAATACAGCCCTGCTCTTCCCACAAGGTAAGTGCATGTTGACAGGGTACAGAGTAATCACAAGTGCATCAGATGTTCCTGACTCAGCTTCCTGAGGGCCTGTGCTTTCTACTGTATTATACTCTTTTCAGAATGGTTCTCTGCCTTCAACACTCTAGTTGAGAAAGGAGTCATGATTGGAAGTCATTGATATTGGATGTGAAAGAGAAGGTAGAAAATCTCCAGGATGAAGACAAGTAACCAGGTTGTAACCCCTAGAGCCTGTGTGCTTAACATTCTAACAATGCCTAAGGAAGGTCATCTCTCCAGCAGCCTTCAGTGCTGTGCTCCCATGGGTTTCCCAGCAGATATATATTCCTACCTCAACTTCCTGAGAACCTGCTTGCTGAGATTCCATCCCAAGCCTGCTTTGTGCTGTTGTGACATTAAATTATGAAAATCACTGCCACCTGCTGTCTACCTATGGGTACTGACTTTCCTTGCTCACTGTCAGTGAGAATCTTTTTGTTAGTCCAGGAAGAATAATAGTTTTTGTCAGACTCTAGCCTCTCATCACTCTAAAACAGAAGTGCAAATCCCACCCCTGTTAATCTACCCTTTTGCCTTACCAAAATGAGGGCATTGTAGATTCAATGAAAAGGGAAACAGGGCTGGATGTGGTCATGTATTCAGGGAGACTGGATATGGGAGAGGGCCTTCTTCACCTGAGAACAACTATGTAGGACAAGAGGGCTTAAACAGGAAGAAGTATGACTTTCAGAGAAAAGAGGACGATGTAAGTGAAGGCTGGAAGCAGTCATTTCCAAATGGAACCCAGAGGCACAAGGCTGTGACTAGGCCCAGGTGAAAGGGAAACTCAGGGAATGGAGGCTGAAACAGGGCCCACAAGGTCTTACAGGACAGGCCTGACAGGGCCTATCATCTCTTCAGGATGCAGAAATAAATGCAAACTAGAGTGATGGATCCTGAGACCCCACTCACCCACTCATCCTCTCCCACCCTAGCATCATAGAGGGAAGTCCAATTCCAGATGCCTGTGATTTATTTCCAAAGGTGAGCTGCAGCACATAGGAAAATACACATGGCTTTTCAGTCTACATTTTTAGAGAAAATAGAATCTGTCACTGGCTTTCTCAGCCATCATCCAGTTCCATGAGGCTCTAGGACAAATGGCTTGTCTCCAAGATCCCGATTTCAAAGCAGCAACTTGGTCAAGGCCTCTGGGGGTAGAAAGCAAGGGGCAACAACCCCTATGGGGATCAGGGGAGCACATGAGCAGCACTCACTGCAAAGCTAAGGCAAAGAACAGAGCTGGTTGGAGGTACCTCCCATCACCCCAAGGACATGGCTTGCTGAGGCCCAGGACCCAGACCAGGTGGGGTGGGGATGGGGGCTCTGGCCCAGCCTGGAGCAGCAGCAGGACTTTGCGTGTGTACAAGGGAATGGGATGGAGTGGGGGGCATGCTGAAGAGGCAGCCTACCAGGGGATAGAGGGGCTTCAGCTTGCACATTTCCTCTGCCCCAGTCTAACTCCCAGAAAATGGTCCCAAACCCTACAGTTGGCCCCTTGCATTAGCTATACTTCAAGTGGTGGGGGCCTTGCTCAGGTAACCTTCTACCCTCTTATCCCCTCACAATGACAGTGCAAAACATTCTCCCCTGAGTCCCCTGCACCCTCACCAGGGCTGCAGGGAAGGAGGAAAAGGAAGGTGCTAGCTGGGGGCCTCCCCCAACACCGGGAATTCCTTGCACATCTCTCGGACAATCATGCGGTCCATCTGGCACTGGGGGGAGGCTTCCTCCTCAGCCAGGATGCGCCGTAGTGTGGCCTGCAGGTCAGGCAGCCGATGGCGGTGCTGCAGGTAGGGCGTGGAGCGGACCACAGCATGCATCAGGGAGAGGTATTCCATGCGCAGCTGTGGGAAGAGCAGGTCAGCTCAGGAACCTCAAGAAGGTACTGTAACCACCACCAGAAAGGGACTGGCCACTACTGCCCCACGGACCCTAAGGCTACTGACCAACTTACACTATTTGAACATAAGGCCTGCATTTCCAGCACCCAAAATGTACCTGGCCTTCAACAGTTGCTAAATAAAGTGAACAGATCAATCATCTCAGCCACAGAGAGTCCTAGAATGTGGCCTGCCTAGGGAAGTCCTGCCAATCCTTTAGAGGCCAAACTCTCAAGGTGTCATGTCTGTCAGTTGGAGGCCCTCTTATTCTCACCCTATCCCTCTTCTTCCTTGGAAGATCTCACAGCTTAAAACAGGGACCCACCCTCTACCTATTGCCTAGACCTGTTCTATAAGCACCAGACAAGAATATCCAATTGCAAGCTTGTCACCTCCTGAACATCTCAAAAAACTCAAACCTACATATTCACCATCAAACTGAAGATCTTCCCCATCCTCTCCAAGCTGAAGGCTTTCTCATGTTCTTTATTGTAAGATAAAACAACACTATTGTCTATTTAGAAGCACAGGCCTGAAATGCAGGTATCCTTTTTGATTCCTATCTTCCAAATACCTCATATCCAATCCATCTCCAAGACCTGGATATCTTACTTTCTATGTACACCCTGAACATATCTCTAACGCTCCTCCCCCGAGCTCATACTCCCAGTACCTCTAGCTTAAGCAATTCCATCAGCCCTGTGATTTAACATCCAAGCTCTTCCTTGTTCTGAGACTCCAAATCCATTGGCCTGACTTTTTCTCTCCGCCCCCCCCCCCCAGAGATATCCCTCATTATCTCTGACTAGAGAAACTGATATCAAAACCTCCTTTAGGCAGCATCACCTTAATTACTAATCCTGGGACTTAGACCAAGGTGCCTACACACCAAAATGCCCGTATCTAAGCAACACACAAGTACAGTAGTTTTCAGGTCTGAACTTCACTCACTACCACAAACCTCAAAAGGATATGTGGCACTAGTGGAGACCCCACTGCTTTTCTTTGATGTGTTTGCTCTCCTTATAGAAGGTGTATCACTGTACACCTTCTCGGTCTTCCAAACCTAAACTGCCTGGCCAGCTGGACTTGTGCTTCATGGATAAAACAGAAGCAATAAATTTTGTTGTTGCATTGCTGGGGATTGAACCCAGGGTACTCTACCTCTGAAATACATCCCCAGCCCTTTTTATTTTTCTGAGACAGAGTCTAAGTTACTGAGGCTGGCCTTGAACTTGTGATTCTCCTGCCTCAGTCACTCAAGGAGTTGGGATTACTATGCTTAGCTCAGATGCAATCTTTTAAAATACCTTGTCTTTTGCTCTCAGCATCCACATCACACCTGTCCCCACCTGCTGTGGCTTCTGTCCATGTGATCCTGGACACCCCTCACCCCCTGACTCATCTACCTGCCTCCTGAAGTGGCCTACTCTCCCCAACATGTTCACCATTTTTTAATGCTTACTGGATCATCCCCTCTGACTTAGCACATGCACTGGTACTTCCTACCTTTAAAACACTCCCTGAACTCACATTACGTGTCTCTAGCCCTATTACCCCTGCTCCCCCATTTTTCTGTTCCCTTCACAGAAAATTTTATGAGAGTTGTTTCCATTCTAATCCTTCCTTGTTTTTACTCCCCAATAACTTCAAATTCTCTTAAACTCTCCATTCAGACTCATACTCCCACTCCATCAACACCGCTTGTCAATCAACCCCGACCTCCATGTGGCAAATTTTTAGCCCTCTTTTGGACTCCTGACTGTGTGGAGGCAGCAGATCTCCTTCCTTCCAACATGTGACTAGGGCCCCTGCTCACTTGGTTTTGTTCCCGGGTTTCTCCTTACTTGTCCCTGGTGAAGCCTGAACTTCCAGTTGACCCTGCTCATCTATCTCATTTCCTAGGTGACTGCACCACTGCAGGTTTCCCATAACATCTCTGCATGGACAGCTCCAAAACGTCCCTCTGGTTCCAACTTGCTCCTCACTGCATCCCTGATGCCCTCAGTTTGGCAGGTAGCTCCTTAATCTTGACCTATTCAAAACACAACTCTATCTTCCCAAAGTTTTCCCCATAATAATAATCAGCACTGATTTCACCTACTTGCTCAAAATAAATTCAGCAAGCTTTGCCAGATCCACATCCATCATATCCCAAACCTGACCTGTTTTCACCACCACCATGTTTCTCTCTGTCTCCTTATTTCCATTTGATATTATGTCCCCCCCCATTTGGTTCAGATTCCACTCAGCTACCATCCCCATTGTGGTAACCACCAGGCACCTTGTCACCAGGTGACAGGTCTGCAATATGCCGCACAGTGATGTCAATGAGTGCCATCATGTCTGTGTGGTAGAAGATAGAAGCCGTGGCAGAGCTGCTGAACACATCCTGCAGGAACTTCAGGATAGAATGTGGTGGCTGTGGCTCATGTTTGAAGATGCGCACAGGGTCATCTAGGAAGCAAGAGTCATGGGGGTCAGAGTGATTCTTGCCAGGGTCCCAGAACCACCCCAGGAGTTAGAGGAGTCAAAGCAAGGGGTCATAGAGTAACAGGGTATCAAAGGGGTACCCACACGGATTCATGGGCCCTTACCCCCTCTGTTCAGAAGCAACAGCAGCTTCTCAGAGAAGATTTTGACATTGGCATGCTTACTCAGGGCAGCCATGATGACGTTCTGGTCAGGAGCTAAGGAAGGACATGGGTATAGACAAGAGCACAGGTGCAGAGCTTAGAAGGCTTCACGTTGGTTAACCCCCTCCCAGCTAGGACCCAACCTCACCTGGGAGGTGCAGGTTGAGAGCCAGAAGCAGGTTCATGCAGAGGTCTGGCAGCTGCTCTGTGGTGTCTGAGGGTAGCCCATCCTCAACAATGCTCAGCAGGAACTGGGCAAAGGGTGTGCCCAGGTGTTCTGGAAGAGGAGCGCACACAAGTCTGCAGTCCTATCCCTTCCCAACACTACCCAGCTTCCTGGTCTTTGAGTCTTGGGGATACTCAATCCCTACCAGGCTGTGGTCTGCATGTTCCCAGGCCTTTGGGCCCTGGGTCCTACCTCTGGAACCTGTGGTCACCTGGTCAAATGTTTGCATTCTTACCATAATGTGCATAGGGCACTGCCTCCCCCATGGAGAAGACCATGGCCAAGACGAGAGCAGAGTAACAGAGCTTCTGGTGGTCTAGTGGAGGGAAGGTAGGCAGTCAGAGTTCCCGAAGATGGCAGAGACCCTCAGCAGAAGGTGTGAACCCTTTCCAGATGACAAGAAACAGCCCCTGCCCCTGCCTCACCCTGTGTGTCCGTCTGCATGTCCCGTGCCAGCTCCACAGGCAGCACAGATGATACAAGCGTGGAGATGATGGCTGCATCTAGGCTGCACATGGCACCAAAGCACTTCAGGAGCAGCAGCCGAAGTGACGCACGGTGTTCCTGGCAGAGGACCTTACATGCTCAGTTCCTGGAACCCCAACCCTACCTACATCCCTCCATGCCCCTTCCCTTCTGTTATGCACACACCATTTGGTAATAGGCCACCAAGGCCAAGACAGACTCAAACTCATTCCTCTTGCACATTTTCTTGCAAACTTCAGGGTCTGCATCAGTCTGTAGGGAGGAAGTAAGAGAGTGACCCAGTTTGAGCCAAGCTGTGCAGCCACATGGGGGCAAATTAAGCATGGACGTGCAGGGAAGACTCATAGGCATTAAAGAGAGATGGTGCAGGGTGGGAGACACTGCTCCACATGGTGGGCAACGTATGTGGGCCCCCACCCCGCACCAGAATATGCAGCAACTCCTCCAGATAGCAGCGAATGACACCCTCGTCCTCATACAGGGCCCAGCTGCGCTGCTGGGCATCATCCTTCCGCCGGGCCAGGTCTGCAAAGATCACCTCCAGTCTCTGCTGGTCATGGCAGACCTGCCCTGAGGGCAGGGCTGAGCTCAGATCCTGGGGAGAGAAGGTGAGGTGCAGCTCAGTATACTCCCTGCTAGTGTCTGTCTCCAGGAAGTCCCCAGTATCTGGATCTGTGGGCCTACAGTCTGTGAGCTCAAGTCCGGCACTACCTACACTAGGCAGGGGGGCTCAACTTTGGTCTCGATGACCACTTAGGACAGGATTTTGCATGAGACATGTCTAGGGTTTTCTAACGACTTGTTTCTCACCTTACACCTGGATAAATACCTTCCATGAGAAGGTTTATGGACTCTGTCATTGCCTGAATGTGACTCTGACACTCCATGCCCCCATTCCACACAGAGACACCAGGCCTGTCACTGACCCACCTCTCACATTTCCCTCAAACCCTTAACCAGGCACTGGTTGCTGTGCCCAGCACAGTGTCACCAGAGAGTAGATGCTGTACTGAGGCAGCCTCCTGAGAGACCCCCCACCGATCCTAGCCCAGAGTCCCTGTATCCCCAGTACAGGACCCAGTGCCTCTACAGTTCTCACTCCCTCCTCCACAACCAGAACTGTAGGAGGAACTTAAGGTACCTTTCCCTCCTCTAACCCCCAAGATGTAGTCTGGACTCACTGCCCCAGTGCTGTGCCTAACCAATAGCCTTGGCAAGGTGGGGCTTGCCATTCCATGATGCCCACACACCTCATTCTCTTATTCAAGTGCCCTGTGTCCATACTTCCACGTAGCCAGAGAGAACTCCTGGCTATCCATATCTAGTCTCATTTGTCACCTGCCCCAGATCTCACCTCCTCCCATACCACCTGCTCCTTCACTGCCTGTTTTCTACCCATGCTGGCCTTCTACTTTCTCCTGTGAGCCATGCTCAGTCCTGTTCAGGGCCCTTGTCCAAACTGAATCTCTGACTAGACTGTTCTTCCTCCCTTTCTCCTTCATGGGTCAGCTCAAATGACCCAAGTGCCCAACAAAATGAAAGCCCAAAGCTTTAACTCAACAAATACTTCCACTTATAGGCTGGACAAATGCATGAGGGTGGGAACAGGGTTGGGGTGGCAGGGTGGCCTGAAGGTGAGGAGGCTCCTGGCCCACCCTCACCTTGCCCTCTACCAGCGAGAGGAGGACCTGCTCCATAACAGGTGAACTGGCTGGCACGGAGGCCTGGATGTGACCCACTATAACGCCAATGGCCACGCGGCATAATTCATGGCTCAGGCCGGTGTTTCTCCGCACAAGTTCCATCAGCTCTGCCCCAATGGTCCTCGGCACAACCGTCTCAGCCTCAGCCTTCTCCTCTGTGGTCTCTAGGCTCAAAGATCTTAGGGCCTCCAGGTCATCAGGGGTTGAGGTTGTACCAGCTGCCATCTCCTCTGCAGGGGGTTCAGGGGCTGGTTCCTTGGAGGGAGAAAGCTGGGCTTGCGACACAGTGGTGTGGATGCCTCTACGGGGCACAGGTGGGGGCGTAGGTGAGTAACTGGGACCCAGCTCAGAGGGGCTGGAGCCTGTATAGAGCGTGTCCAAGGAGGTACTGCCGACTGAGGAACCACTGGACACAGAACTACCCCCAGAGGGCATGGTGTTACGACCACCTGTGAGCAGAGAGTAGATGCTGTACTGGGGCAGCCTCCTGAGAGACCCCACCCGTCCTAGCCCAGAGTCCCTGTCCCTGACCAAGGTCACACCCCAGTACAGGACCCAGTTTCTCTAAGAGTCCCTGTCTCTACAAAGCCCAGAACTCCCACCTGCCCCAAAAGGAGGTCCTATCTTCTCTGACAGAGCAACCATTCCAAGCAAAGTGTACCCCACCCCAATTCCTCCAATCCTGCCTTCTCACCATTCCCTGAGACTATCAGTGCCTCACGATCTCGGCGTTTCACAGGTGGGGGTGGTGTGGTGGGTGCTGCCCGGCGAGGCTGTGGTGGGATCTGGGAAGACAGAAAAGAGATCTTGTGGGGACAGGTTAGAGGCTGGGACCCTAAGCTCTGGACATGGGCAAGAATATACTCTGGGTACATCAGTGATCCAAGTGGACCCCTTGAGCCTCTGGATGAAGCCTTCAGTTCCACCCACCACCTTCTCCAGGATGCCCTCACCATGTACCTGATAGAGGCCTCCATCTGTCCCAAGATGCTCAGAACTGGGCAGGCTGTGCTGCCTTTCAAACCCAATTCGGCACACTCCATTGGGTTGCCTAGCAGCAGCAGTATCCAAATGATGGTCACTGGTAGATGGGGTCATAACTGCAACATTGGAGGCTGAGGGGCCTCTACGAGACAGGGTCTCTTTCCGATGGTAGATCAGCTTCCTAATAAAGGGTCAGGGAGACTTTTGGGGAAGAAGACCTCACAACTCCCAAAGTCCTTTCCTGGTCCCTGTGGGATGCTGGGACCACACAGCCCAGGCTTCTCACACCCCTATCTCTGCCACTGCCTACCCCACTTTGTGATATTCCATACTATCCCCAGTCCTGACTCTACACATCTTTGATCCTTAAGGACCCCACCCTTCCATGCTCATGGGAGAATCCACCCCCACTTCCCCACACTCACTGGAGGACTCCACGCTGTTCCAGGCTGTACTTGCCACCATCTCGCATGGCTGTATTGTGCACAGCCTCAATGGCCCGGTCAATGGCCTGGAGGACATCCTGTTCCAGGCCCTAAAAGTGGGTAGTGGTGATCAGTTAAACCTGGAGCTCAAGTGGGGATACTTAATCCAGACTTGGCCCAGGATGGAACCCAGGTGGAGGACCACTACAGCTGAAATCTAGAATGACAGACAAGAGCAGAGACCAAAACTGGACTATGGAATGAGGTTCTCAGACTGCACCACTCAGCGAACTGGGGTACCAGGTGACCCTAAACCAGCTTACATATTGAGGATCTTGGCTAAGATGCCTCAAAACCATGAACCTAAAGCAAAACCATAGCCCAGGAGTTCCCAGCTTGTGACCAGGAGTATATACACAGTCTATTCCTGGGCTTGGCTCAGAGCCCCAGACTGAGATGCCAAGCAGGAAACCTCCAGTGTCTGGAATCCTTAATAAGTCATTCTGATCTTGCAGACCCTTCACAAAACCAAGGTCACACCCCACAACAGCCTTATCCTCACACAGACCTTCACAGGCCCTGAGAGCAAAGAATAGACCAAAAGAACCTCCTCTCCCCATCCCTGCTTATCAGTCCTCATCCTCCCAAGCTGTCCCAGTAATTTTTTGTACCTGCTCTGGGAAGCGGCTCTGTGTTTGTGGTAAAGGAAGGACATTAGAAATGAGCCTAGTCCCTGCTCTAGGCCCTGTGTTGTCATGCCTAACAACCCAGGAATCTGGTCTACCTCACTGCATGTTATAAGTGTGGTGTGGGATCAGCTATCCCCACCCCTTCCCTATCCCTAGACACATGGTGCATCAGGCTACATAGAAGCCACAGAGCTCCTCACAGTGGGTTTGGGAAACTTCTCTGATGGAGACAGATGGACGTAAAGGTCAGCAAAGCCCCTGAGGTGGCATGGGGCATACCAGGGAACAGGTATACAAGAGAAGGAAGGGGGAATAGGAAGAGAACACACTAACACACAGAAAGTAAGACAGACCTAGAGAGAGAGAGACTCAGAGGCAGGCAGAGGGAAATAAAGCAGGAAAACTGAGAGTCAGAAACAGACTGGGAGAATTGGAGAAAGAAAGGAAAACACCCAAATGGAGAGTCAGAATGAGACAGAGATGCACAGTCAGGGAAACTGAGACACAGGGAATATGCAGAAAGAAACTGAGAGATAGTGGCAGAGAAGATGGTTGACTCTCTGCTCTCCCCAAACAACCAGCCCCACCGGTCCTGGCTCAGGCAGAGGCTTTACAAGCCCTTGACCTATGCCCTGTGGGGAAGAGGCAGGACTTCCACAGAGGCCTCCAATGAGATCCCACCTCCAAAAGAGGCTGAGTCTGACACACTCCAGACCTAGTAGGGCTCCCTATTCTCACCACAAGCATAGCTAGATGGAATCAACCAACCCCATCTGTGAGAAAACCTCTAAGGCCCAAGGCCCATCCTCTCTGGTAAGACCAGATGACATTTCCAAATTTATCCCATTATTTCTGTCTTGAACTGGGCTGGCACAGTTTATTTCCTAAAGGCTAGGGACTAGGACAGGACAGGAGTGTCTGACACAGACTAGGTGTCTCAGCACCTTCCTTCCCACTGTGATCATAACATACCAGCCAGAGACACTACACCCTAGTCCCTGCAACAGGGCTACTCTTGAGGGAACAGGAACTGGGACTGCAGCCTACCTACACTGGAAGAAAATGGGGCATGGTCAGACCAGGGGAAGTCAGGAGAATTCATTTCCTTACAATGGGAACAGCCCCTATTCTTGGCTGGGGACAGGAGGGACAAGCTCCCTCAATTTCAGAGGAAGTCTAAGTCAGGGCCTGAAGCTTGTGAGGAGGCATTGCCAGGTAGTGTTAACAAGAGCTTGGTTCTTGGTTCAGAGAGTGTTCAGAAAGGGGGAGGGGTGTCTTGAAAAGAGTTTAGAGGGTGACTGAGTACAAGAAAGTGAAATACACTGAGATCCAAGGTTTGGGAGGCACCTAGGAGATGGGAGTGATCATGACTCCAGGTTTCAAATGGGAGGGGATTGAGGGCCTGGAGGATGGTTGGGGAACCATTGGTATTCTAAGGTGGCTCAGTCTCAGTAGTGAGGTGAAGAGGGTCTCAGTGGTAAAGGTAGGGGCTCCAATAGGTGGAGGAGGTGGGGGGTGGGGAAGGAAGAGTGCAGGAATTCTAGAGATCCAGGGAAGGGGTATATTAAGGGTGTGTGTGTGTGGGGGGGGGTCTCAGGAATCTGGTAATTGGATTAGAGTTTCTGAGTCTAGCTGTAGAATTCTATTCAGATGGAGGTCTCCATACTGGGGAATATGCATGGGGAATTTGGGGTCCCAATGAGTATCAGTCCCAGAGTTAAGCTTTTAGTAGCTTAAGCTTTTGGTAAGTCTGGTCTAAGATGTCAAGGGTCTATCTAGTCTCTTGCAGGGATTGCTGACCCTAGAAGTCCCAGTCTTCATGGGTCTTAGGTCTCAGGGTCAGGTTCTCAAAACTGTCTCCTGAAGGATCTGGAGCCCCTGGGTCGGTTCTATCAGCCTGTGAAAGGGCCCAGTCTCAAAGGCCACTAAGGCGGGCAGGGGAGGGGCACTCACCTGCAGGCGATGCAGGTAGGCAGGCGGCACGTAGCCTGTCTCGCCACTGCGCGCCCGCGCCGCTAGCCACCAGTGCGCGCTGCTACGCTCCAGGACCAGGAAGGTCTCGCCCGCGGCGAACGCTAACGCGTTGGGCTCCGCCGAACGGAACGCGTACAGCGCACGGTACATGGGGCCGATTTGGGCCGCGCCGGTGCAAGGTACGCGGCGGGAACTGCTGAGCTAGGACACCAGGCCCGGCAGTGCCGCGCCGCGCTCGCCACGCCCCGTGACACTTAACGCGTGCGTGCGCGCGCGCGCCCGCCCTCCGCAGCCCCGCCCCGAGTGTCAACCCACGCAGTGGCGCGGGCGCCCCCTGTCGGCCCCAGAGACGCGGCGAGGAGGGGCTCAAGAGATTACTTTCTCTGCAGCGTTACCTCTTAGATTCAGGGCCGTTGAAACATGGCCTCGGCCTTGGCTTCCCTCACACGCCCTTGGACTCCCATTTTGCTCAAATCCCAACGCTGCGGCCCTTCCTATATCCTGATGAAGATGTGTTCGGCTCTTAGCCTGTGTGCCCTGACTGTCCGGGGCAAGTGGGTACTGACCTACTAACTGTAAAGATGGTAACTTGGACAAGGTGCTTTCATTATAGGTTTCAGGAAGTGTGAGGATGGAGCATATGAGAATAGAAACCACTTCGGACTATATCCCTGTTCAAAGTCCTCCCATCTTTGCTCACCCTGCCCCATCACCCTGAGTAGTCAAGCTCCCGCCACTATCAATCGCTATCATCTTACTTTCTAATTTTATTTATAGGACTTAAACTCCCAGATTATCTTACTTCGGATGCCCCTTTCTGAGGGCAGACAGGAGAGCTGGAAGAAGGTGGGGAGTGGAATGCCATATGGCTGTAAAGAATGTTTGTCCCATCCAACAGCCAGCCCAAACCTCCTTAGTGAGTTCCTGAGAAGCCCAGGGAATATGCCCCAAAGGGTTCTGGGGATACACTCTCCACTGGGAGCAGGTGTGGACAAAAGGCTAGTGTATGCAGCTGACCTGTTTTTAGGTATGGTGGAGGTAGGCCTAGTGGGTCTTGGAGAGGAGGTGGCTGAAAAGTTCAGGTGAGGGACAGAGCTACTAGAACCTGACAACCAGACCCTGGCTTCTGTGCACTAGATCCGGCTCTGCAATTCCAGAAGCTCCCTCGGAGGGACCCTCCTCCTCCTCCCAGAGCCCCTGCAGGCCCAGAGGAGTAGTAGTTAGGGGCTGCACTTCACTGGCTGAACTTTTTTTTTTTTTTTGTGGTGCGGAGGATTGAACCCAGGCCCTTGTGCATACAATGCAAACACTCTTCCAGCTGAGCTATATCCCCAGCCCTGCACTGCCTGAACTTTTGTGAGGGATGAGACTGGTTAATTGCGGTAGAGCCCAGGGCTGGGTAGAAGTAGTGACAGGTGGTGTGGGTAAGAGGATCAGCCTACCCATAACCCCTTTTATTGTGCCCTCCAACACCAGGCCCCTTTTTCACACAGCCTATGGCTGCCAGCGGACCACAGCCTAGTGTTACTTCAAACCCCAGTATTGGATACAGGACATCTGACATCACAGTCTTCAGCTTATTAGTTGCTGCCAGTGGACAGGAGGGAACAAGAGCTAAACCTAGGGGTGGGGATACTGGTAGAGTGCTTGCCTCACACGTACAAGGTCCTGGGTTCAATCCTCAGCACCATCACCAAAAAAAAAAAAAAAAAAAAAAGCTAGACCTAAAGTTTGGAGCCTCTGCTGCCTAACTTTGGCTTAAGCTGCTACATAGGGGCAAAGTATAGTGTCAAAGTATAGTTTTGCTGTATGCATATACGTGACTGTATGACCAATGTGATTCTGCAACCTGTACACTCAGAAAAATGAGAAATTATACCCCATTTGATTCAAATGTATGATATGTCAAGGTCATTGTACTGTCATGTGTAATTAATTAAAACAAACAAACAAAAAGTATAGTTTCTAGGTAGGGATAATGAAAGACAACCAGCACAGATCAGGGAGACCTGGCTAAGGTAGATCTATAGAGGTTTCTTTTTTGGTGACCTCAGGGTGCTAGGTTGAAACCAAGCCAAGACACTGTGGTAACTCTGGAATCCATGGGGGGTTAGAAATAGCCAGGGGGGTAGAAATATTACAGAGCCAGGGAAGAGGTCACAACACATGGTAAGCTTCTGAGGTTTAGGAGGGGTGCTACATGCCCTGGGAAAGAACAACAACAACATGGATACAATAAACAAAAAGATCTGTATTAGAACGTTTACACTCAGGGAACAAAGAGGTATCTGCATCATCAAATGTGGAATGTTGAAGAAATAGTTAAAATAAATAAAGACTCCCGAGTGCAGCTGGAGCGGGCTCGGGTTGGGGCTCAGAGAGGCCACTGCACATCAGCTCCAGGCTGCAGGGACCCCTACCTGGCCATACTGGCCTCCTCCCTGACGCAGCACAGCTGTGTCTGGGACACAGAGTCTCTCTCAAGTACTGGAACAACCAGCAAGTTCACTCTCCACTCTCCTCACTTATCTCTGTGACAATGTCTATCAGGCTCTGGAGCCCAAAGATATAGCCAGCATCCTGGCCCTCATGCACCACACTGTCCTCGCCATACAGCCTGCAAGTGGTGTGAGCAAAGTCGATCATGCGCACATCCACTGAGCTGGCACCAATGGGCTTGTAGGCATAGGCACCAGCAGACTCATCAGCTGACTCCTCTGACAGGTCCTCCAAGTCCTCCTCATCCGAGTCCAGGGCCACTTCAGGCCACTCTTTGCCATCATAGATAACCAACAGGGAGCTTGAGTAGAAGCGGTAGGATTCCTGTCGTTCCAACACTGCCTTGAGCTCAGCCAGCTTCTTGAGCACAGGGCCCAGGAGCTCTCGACGCAGGTACCGACCATTGTGGAAGAACTGGAAAAGTGCTTCCTTGAAGCCCTGCACTGATAGTTTCCGCCCATGGTACTTGTTCATGAACATAAGCTGCCCAGTGCCTGCCTGGTATACCTGTGGGGAGATCAGCAAGTCAGTGGATGAGGCTTGGACACTGGGGTGGGGGAAGGTGATGGTGATGTGACATCTGGGATCTGCTCCTATTTTTTCTTTTGTAGTACTGGGGATTGAACCCAGGACTCCATGAATACTAGGCAAGCACTATTCCACTTTATATTCCTCGCTCTTTTTAAAATTTTGAGACAGGGTCTCACTAAGTTGAGGCTGGCTCAAACTTGGAATTCTCCTGCCTCAGTCTCCTGAATAGCTGGGATCAAATTGTGTACCACTGCACCAGGCTCTGGATCTGACTGTTTGTTAATAAGCACACCAAGTCACACATGAGCTGCTGTCTTCTCTGATCAGTATCAACCTGCAATGCAGCCATCTGACCTGGGTTAAATTATTGTACATCTGGGTCAGTGGAGACAGACTAATCCTCTTGTCTTTTTCTCTACTTCTGTCTATAGGTTCTGGACTCAGCCTACCAGGACAGTCTCAGAGAAATTACCCAGACATAAAATACATGCTTTCTTTTCTTTCTTTCTTTTTTTTTTTTTTTAAACCAGAAAGCATCAAATTCATATAGGGTCATTCTGAAATCTTTAGAACAAATAAAACTACACCACAGTGGGGAAGCAGCAGCTACTGGATTCCCTAGCTAGCCCTTGTCTTGCACCAGCACATTACTCACCTGCATGCCACACACACGCACACCAATGACTGCAGATGTGCTCTGCTGACATTTTCGGATCTGGTTAGCTGCTTTCTCCTCTGAAGCATCATCACCATGCTGGCGTGTGCCCATCTTAAGGTCCAAGACACAAGGCACCTCATAGCGGGAAGTCAGGTTCTCCAGTAATATAAATTCTAAGTGGTTAAGAACTACATCCCCAAGAGAAAGTGCTACACATGATACCTTGGCACAGGGAATTGTGCGTGAATGCAGTGACCCAGAGAAGCCTAACCCCACAGGGGGCTCCATTAATTGTGCTGTCTCCTATATAGAGTGCCCACAGCTAACTAAAGAGCTAAGAGGAACTTCTTGTTAGGGAACTGGCATGAGAGCAGCTAGTGTCTAGACTTGATACAGGCCTGAGGTGCTCCAGCCTTAGGAGACAAGATTTCCTGAATTCAGCTATGTGTAGGATCAGAGTACAATAGCATACTGTCCTCAATTATACATAGAATGAGCTCAGTAAATCCTGCAGCCTTAGATATAAATTGTAAACTTCAATACAAATTCATAAAAAATATTTGTCTTGAAAAAACTGTTTCCCAAGCTGTGTGCATGGAAAATGTCTAGAAATAATGGACCAGAAATAATAAATACCCCTAGTATGGTCTATTTCCCATTAATATAAACCAGTGGTCCTTAGAGTAGGAATGGTAAACTACAGTCCACTGCACATTGTTGTACAATCTATGAGCTAGTAGTGGTTTTTACATTTTTAAGAGATCAAAATAAATATAATACTTTATGATCCATGAAAATTGATATTCAATTGGAGTGACAATAAGTATTTACTGGAACACAACTACACTAGTTCATTTAAATATATAGTGGCACATATGTATGTGCCACAACACCTAAAAATTTATTTGGCCCTTTACTGAAAAGATTCACTGACCCCTGCCTTAGGGGAATGGTTTGAGTTCACATCTGGAGCAGGAAATATACATGGTCATTTCCTAGACTCTTTTTCATACTAGAAAGCAAGATAACTATCATAGATTACCACCACTGTGTCAAACTTGGTAAAGGTAACAACTGCAATGGATTAAAACACAAATATATAAACCATACCTCAAGCATATAGTTGATGAGGAAAAATTTTGTTTTATAGGAAGTTTCCAGCTTGTGAATAACAAAATTAGAAAACTACCTAATGAAAAATTAGATCTAAGGCAAAGAGAAAGACTCTGCTTCCCAATGGACATGTACAATATAATTTCTTGGGGATTACTGCTCCCATTCCCACAAACTGAAACCAAATCAGTTCTTTAGATCTTTAAATCAAGCCTTTAGATCCAATCATCACCTACTGAAGACATCATATATGAATACATGACCAATGTAACTACACATCACATACAACCACAAAAATGGGAAGTAGAGCTGGCATTTGTAGCTCAGTGGTTGAGAACTTTCCTTGTGTGCGTGAGGCACTGGGTTCTATCTTCAGCACCATGTAAGAATAAATAAATAAAATAAAGCTAAAAAAATGGGAAGTAATACTCCATGTATGTATGAAAAATACTGTCATGTATAACTAAAAAGAACAAAAAAAGTTAAAAAATTAAAAAAAACAGTGGAAGGGGCTGGGGTTGTGGCTTAGTGGTAGAGCACATGCCTTGCATCTTGTGAAGCACTGGTTACCATCATTAGCATCACATTAAAAATAAAAAATTACAAAAAAAAAAAACAACAGTGGAAACACAGGGGACACAGTAAGCATGTAGGAATACAATCAGTAAAACCCAGATCATAGAAAACTCTAAAAGAGTTTTTTTTTTTTTGTAATAGGGATTGAATGCAGAAGCACTTAACCACTTAGCCACATCCCCAGCCCTTTTTTATATTTTATTAGAGACAGGGTCTCACTGAATTGCTTTAGGCTTCGTTAAGTTGCTGAGGCTGGCTCTGAACTTGTGATCCTCCTGCCTCAGCCTCCTGAGCTGCTGGGATTACAGATGTGCACCACCACAGCTGGTAAGACATCATTTCTTTCTCTTTTTTTAAATATATTTTTTAGTTGTAGATGGACACAATACCTTTATTTATTTATTTATTTTTATGTGGCGCCGAGGATTAAACCAGTGCCTCACATGTGCTAGGCAAGTGCTCTACCACTGAACCACAACCCCAACCTAGACCCAGTTTCTTTAATAAGAAATTAAAAAAAAAAAAAAAAAAAAGGCAGCAGGGCATGGTGGCACGTGACTATAACTCCAGCCACTCCAAAGTTAAGAGGCCAACCTGGGCAATTAGTGAGACATGACCTCAAAAAAAAAAAAAAAAGGCTAGTGAGGCTGAGGTTGTAGCTCAGTGGTAGAGTGCTTGCCTAGCATGGAAGGCACTGAGTTTGACCCTTAGCACCACATAATAAAAGGTATTATATCCATCTACAACAACAAAAAGTCTAGACATACAGCTCAGGGGTAGAGTGATCCTGTGTTGCACAGAAAGGAAGGAAGGAATTATTTAATCAATTTCTAAGGAAAAATGAGAGTGGTATTTAAAGACTTAAACATTTCGATCCAATGCAACTTACGTGAATTCCTATTCTAACAAATAATAAAAACATACTCACTGAGACAATTAGAAAAATGTGAACATGAATTAGGTAGTTTATAGTTAGGAATTACCAATTTTTAAGAAATAAAAATGCGGGGGTGCTGGGGTTGTGGCTCAGTGGTAGAAGTGCTTGCCTAGCATGCAACAAGGCACTTGGTTCAATCCTCAGCACCACATAAATGTAAAATAAAGATATTGTGTCCACCTAAAACTTAAGAATGAAAAAAGAAAAGAAATGAAAATGGTGTTCAACTGTTAAAATAGTCTCATCTTTTAGAGATACACGCTAAGGTACACACAGATGAAATTATATAGCTCAGATTTGCTTTGAAAAGAGTATAGGTGGAAAAAATCTTCTGTTTAAAAACCAGGGGCTGGGTCTGGGGCTCGGTAGTAGAGCATTTGCCTGGCATGTGTGAGGCACTGGGTTTAATCCTCAGTACCACATAAAAACAAATAGACAAAACAAAGGTATTGTGTTCATCTACAACTAAAAAAAAAAAAAAAAAAAAAGCTCAGTGGTAAAGAGTATTTGCCTAGCATGCATAAAGCCCTGGGTTTCATCCATCCCCCAGCACAACCAAAAAGTCCAGGTATGAAGGGTAGTGGGTAAATAGAGAAAGTCATGACACAAGACTGACATAAGTGGGTTAACTGCCAAACCTGGGTGGAGAAATACTCTGTCAATGCATTATTCTAACATATTTTCCTTAATAAAAGTTAAAAATATATAAAACAACCTCAGTTCTGAAGATTTTCAACCCATAAGGTTAAAAAAAAAGAAGGATCCTGGCATAGCTCATATGCCAGACTGGTGAACCAGAACTGAAAGGTTAGTTTTCTCTTAACTTAATCCCTTTAGTTCAAGACGATTTGGGAATCTTCTGCAGGAATTTGCAAACAGGGATAAGCTCTGTGCCATCTTCCCTAGGCTATCTAAAGTACACCTGATTGTAAGGTGGCCCCTTCACGAGATATCCCTCATTCCCAGAAACCCCTTATCCCCCATTCCCTACCACCTACACTCAGAGGCCAGTCCCTAGCCCTAAGAGAAGCAATACCTATCCATGAGCATCACAGAAGTATTCTGGCACAACCCCAATAGAGGAAATTCAATTAAGACTTAATAGACCCAACCACTCTCTTCAAGCCCTCCACACTTTCCCTCCTCTCCCCAACAAGGTAGGGATGTCCCATGAACAAAGGATACTGTACTGGTTCCGATGCTTTGCATTCTCCTTCATTCTCTGTAACTGTTGCTGGTGACATTTCATGCTCCAAGGATTATAGTGCTTGAGCTGGGAACTTATACTCCCCTTTTTTTCTACACTGTAGTATAAGACTTCAGATTTCTTTAGCCATTCAAATTCTTCTTCTAACTTATGGCTATGAAGATATAAGGTTCCAATAAGTCATAATGTCAAAAAATTCAGTGTCAAAGATGCATGAGGGAGCTTTCTGGAGTAATGAAAAGTTAGATATTTTGATATGGTGATGGTTACAAACTCATTAAACACTTTATTTTTTTTATTTTAATTTTTTTAAGAGAGAGAGAGAGAATTTTAATATTTATTTTTTTTAGTTTTCGGCAGACACAACATCTTTGTTTGTATGTGGTGCTGAGGATCGAACTCGGGCTGCACGCATGCTGGGCGAGCGCGCTACCGCTTGAGCCACATCCCCAGCCCCATCATTAAACACTTTAAATGGGTACATTTTATCATTGTACCTCATTATCATGAGGTCTATTTTATCTCATTAAAGTTAATTAAGGGGCCATGCCATCACTATTTTCTACAACAAGGGAAACCTAAGAAGCAAGATCAGCCTCTGCCTCCCAACTTCCAAGTCAGGCAGCTTCTATTCCCCTATTCCAGGCAATACCCTCAAACCCACATGTGGTACACAGGTTCATCTGACTTCCCATCTGGAGACTGGGAAAATCTTAGGTGAAATCCCATATAAATAAGTTAATCTACTTGGCCACATTATTTTTATATATATATATTTTTTGGTACCAGGGATTGAACTCAGGGGCACTCAACCACTGAGCCATATCCCCAGCCCTATTTTGTATTTTATTTAGAGACAGGGACTCACTGAGTGAGTTGCTTAGTGCCTCGCCATTTTTGAGACTGGCTTTGAACTTGTGATCCAGCCTTCCGAGCCCCTGGGATTACAGGCATGTACCACCACGTCTGGCCATATTTGATATTTTAACAAGCTTTGCTAACGTATGGTACTTGAAAACTCTGCCCAAACAGATCCTTGAGTTTCACAAATGTCCCCCATAATTAGTAAGCAACCTGAAGTAAAAGGGTAGGTAACTCCTGTCACATCTACAGGACCCAGGCTATAGCCTGGCACAGAGCAGCAGTTGAAGGAATGTACACTAAATCTCTTTTTACAGCTACTGCTTCAGCTGTTAACCAAAAATGGCATGACCTAACCCAGAAGTTAATTAAAGAGATGCTGGGCATGCCATGTGGGAACTAACCATTGAAAGACAAGGCACCTATAAGCCCACCATGAATTTTCACCTCCAGGGAACTCAGTCAGCTATAACTAAGAACCCCAACACTGACCTTCCCACAGAGCCCAAGGATTCCCCTATTAGTGTACCTACCTCTTCATCTTCTCCTCTTTCCGGTGCTGGCGCACCCAGTCCTTGGGGGTCTTTTCCATTTCTAGCATGTGATGTTTTTTGTTTGTCCACCTTAGAAGTTTACTTTTTGGTTCACAGTCTGAATTGTCTACAAAGTCCACAGTTCCGTGGTCCCCTTTTAATGGATACGCTATTAAACACAAGTTCCTGTCTTCATCTTCTTCAAAGCGCACGGATACCACACCTGGAAATGGGGCGAGGAGCAGAAGGAGCTTTAATTCCACAGAAAGATGCTTTCTAAATAACATGATTGTAACATTTGTTGTTTTTCTTACCCTGTTCCTTAGTCTCTATGTTGCCAGAGGCCCCAAACTCATCTGCAAACCTAACAAATATCAAAACAGCTAGAAAAAAATGACACCATACAAGACAAGCGATTAGGGAGCAAACATGGCCGAGAGTCTTCCTCTCTAATGCACTCAACAAGGCAAGAGCCAAAGAATTACAAGACACATTTTTCCATCATTGAAAATGTTTTATTAATTTTTGTGTAACTCTTCTAATACTAAGAGGATGCAAAAACATTGCTCTTTATATCTTGTGGAAATTTTTAATGCCCTGAACAGAAACTCCGACCGCCTGGAAGCTTGCTTTAAGGCAGAACCTGAACGCAAGGAAACACAAGTTTGTCACAGGGTAAGAGGCATCTAAAAGTAAGGAAGACTGGGTAAGCAAAGCAAAATAAAGGGGCAAACAAAACAAACCACACAGCACAACAGACACCCTAGCAAAGGCTTACTGTAGCACCCCCACTTAGGTAGGTGCCTCAAGCCTTTTGTCCTTCTCAAATATGCTTTTTATTAGTCTTTGCAGTTTCTTGTCACAAAAATAAATAAATAAGTAAATAATCAAATACAAGATAGATAGGGTTGGACCAGGAGGACAGACACATTGTGGCCTTGAAAGCAGCTCTCCACCCTTGAGTCTCTAGAACCTGCCATGTGTAATTAGACAGTCTTTGAGGAGGGAGCTGTCAGTAGGAGCATTTCAGCAGGTGCCGATGAGTGCCTTACAACCGACTGGCTGAACACCTTTCCTCCCAGGCCTCTCTGCCCCAGGATCACTCAATCTGCTCAGTCCTTGCTGCCCGCCCGCTTGCTTGCTGCAGGGGAATGCGTGCTGAGAGAGATGACACTTCTGAGGTAGCCCCCAGCTCTAGGTGCAGAGGAGCCAAGGTGGGGATTTCAGGGGACCACACTTCCCTGTGGCCATGGGGAAAAGGACCAGAGGAAAAAAGGGGGCAAGGGTGGCCAGCTAACAAGGGAACTCTGGCTTTGTCCTGGAAAAAACAAGAGAAGGACCAAGTGAGGGCCCACAACTCCCCCCACCCCCACCCTAACACACATGCATTTCAGAGTACAGAGAGGTGCCCAGAACATTCTGTTTTTTAAAAAAATAATATTAAACAGTCCCAGAAGAACCTAAGTTGTTCTGGTCTTTTATATATCCAGTAATACCCACTTAAAATTAATTTCTTTAATATGTTCTCCTTTGATTTACAAAAGTTCCCCCCCAGACCACACCATGCTGGTGGCTGCTTATGTCCCCCCAAAGAATCATTATAAAAGGAAGAAAAAGCTACAATATGTGAATCAACCATTTGCCTTCATGTAGCAATTTTGGGGATTTCCATAATTGCAAAGGGCTTCAGCTAATCAGCACAGTCCTCCCACTCCTGCATTCCATCTGACTCAACCCTGCTCCCAGCCTACCTAATCACCAGGGCTTCTGGTTTCCTGGAGGACAAAAAGCAGGCGGCAAGAATTCTGGGTAAAATCCTCCCAAAGTCTTCCCCCACTGTCCCCACCATGGGGGACTATGGGTTACTGTGATCAAGAGACACCTGAACACAAAACACAACTAAACTTCCACCAAAAATAAACTCAAAACAAATCCACAAAACAAAGCACAATTGAGCAATCTTACCAGGGCTTGAAAACTGAGGGTGTGAGGTGCTGGGCTGAGGGCCAGGAGGAGGGAAAACACAAAGTGAGTGGGAGGGGGTGAGGGTTCCCAGGATGGCTGCCAGGGCCTTCCATGGCCGTGATTCCTCACATCTCCTCACCAGCCTGGCGACCCCTCCGGCAGTTGGGGGCTCACCTTTGTACTGGGGAGTGAATCTGCGCATCTCAGCTGGGAGGGTCTCGTAGAACTGATGCTCCCTCGGGACCAGGGGCTTGCACAGGGTCGTCTCATTGAAGCGTAGAACACAAGAGTGCCCCCCAACCTGGTGGACAAAGGGCTCCAGCAGGACGCCCTTGGTGCGGGGCTCCACGTCCATGGCCCTGAAGGCTGGGCTCATCCTCCGGACGCAGACGGCAGGGAAAACGGGGAGGCAGCAGGGTCTACGGCCAGCTCGTCCTCCGTCGCTTATCTTGCCCGATCCTCCTTCTGTTTGGTCTCCGCTCCTAGGTTTGTGTAGGCCAGAATGCTCTGCCGGAAGCAAGCACATTGATTTGTGGGAACCGCCTTAGGTTCCAATTCTCCAGCAGAAAGGCAAACAGTACAAGCTCACTTAGGGTTCCGCCCACGCTGCCCACCCCAGCCCCGCCTCTTCCCTGAGCTGAGGGAGGAGAGGGAAGGAGAACAAAGCAAATGAGAACACGCAGAAACTGTGCTCCAACAGGGACACTACAGCATTACAAAGTCACCGTAACAGACAAAACACAAAGCCATGAAAAGGTAAAGATCAAAGATCACAATTTCAAACATTATATTCAAATTAAATCTTACCATTATCTAATATGATAGACAAACTTAAGGTGAAAGGTGCTCAAATTTATCCATTTAATGCAATTTCTACAGGGAAAACCAACTTATCCATCATCTCGGACTTATCCGCCCAAGGTATCCACACATACTGCCCCAGTCCAAGGCCAAAGACAAGCTCCATTAACCTTATTAGCAGTGGAGCTTGGGACCAGCTTTAATGATTAACGTCTGTATTTAAAAACAACCGATCAAGGCTGGTTAACTTCATTTAAAAAGATACACAGTGTTCTAGGTCAACCAACTATTTTTATCAGTTCTATCCTGATCACTAAAAGCTGGGGCACACCTTTAAGCCAAAGTTGTGCTCCTGGGGCAGTCAGGGCTCTTATCCACCATAAGTCTAGGACCTTAGTTCTGATTATGCATCCAGACGCCACAACTGGATCTCAGCAAAGCACACCTTTTTACACATCCTATTAACTGATTCAAGGCATGTCAGGCTAGGTATGTTTTCTGGCTATAATTTATAGACAATGTAGTTTCTACTAGCATTCCTTACAGGGCTTAAACCACTGTATGTATATGTACAGGGATCTTACTGGGAACTTGTGCAGTTCCCATGACTCCATCTGCGACAGTGAGAGTGAGGAAGGGTTTGCTGAGTAAAAAGCTCATTACAGAACTTCTTACTTGGTCCTCTGGATACTTTTAATGAGGTAGACACTACTCTCCCTACTGCAGGCAATGAAGCCAATTTGAGGAAGTAGAAAACACACCCACAATCACAGTTCCCAAATGAAACTTAAAATCCTAGACTGGAGGATGCCTTAATTTTGCTGCGTATATGGGACATTTAGTTTGTCCTATAAAAGTGCTTTCAGGTGATAATGGCCTGATTATATTCCACCATTATGTACAACTATAATGCATCAATAAAAAAAGTGTTTTCACCAAAATTTATATCTTCTGTAATAGCCTCTTTTAAAGAATTTAATTTGGTGGGGTTTTTTTAATATTTATTTTTTAGTTGTAGTTGTCAATACCTTTATTTTTTTTAATGTGGTTCTGAGGATTGAACCCAGGGCTTCACACGCAGTAGGCAAGTGCTCTACCGATGAGCCACAACCCCAGCCCTGTGATAATCTTTTCCTTTCAGAAAAGCCCACTGTTGACCCAGCTGGATTCAAGGATTTGAAGCTTTATTATATGCAAAGAACACAGACCTCAAAGACCCTGATTTCTCACCTGATGCTACCTTCTCATTATCACAGAAGCCCTCTCAGAAAGGCAGGTACTGAGAAGAGTTCCCAAACAACACAGGCAAAGTGACTATAAGGATGAATACTCTAGTCATTTCAGACTCTCTCCAGAAGATAGAGCTGAGGTGCCTAGTTACACAAGCCCTTTTACTTAGCAACTTAGCAAGAAGCAGTCTCAAAAATTTTTTTAAAAAAGAACTGGAGCTGTAGTGCACACCTGTAATTCCCAGTGGCTTCGAAGCGTAAGGCAAGAGGATCAAGAGTTCAAAGCCAGCTTCAGCAACTTAGTGAGGTCCTAAGCAACTTAACCAGACCCTGTCTCAAGGAAAATTGTCAAAATGACCATATTACCAAAAGTACTATACAGATTTAATGCAATTCCAATCAAAATACCAATGACATTCTTCACAGAAATAGAAAAAGCAACCATGAAATTCATTTGGAAAAATAAGAGACCCAGAATAGTCAAAGCAATCCTTAGCAAGAAAAGTAAAGCGGGAGACATCACAATACCAGACCTTAAACTATACTACAGAGCTACAGCAACAAAAATGGCATGGTATTGGCACCAAAATAGACATGTAGACCAATGGTACAGAATAGAGGACACAGAGACAAATCCACATAAATATAGCTATTTCATACTAGACAAAGGTGCCAAAAACATACATTGGAGAAAAAAATAACTTCTTCAACAAATGATCCTGGGAGAACTGGAAATCCTTATGCAGCAAAATGAAATTAAACCTCTCTATCTCACCCTGCACAAAACTTAACATGGATCAAGGACCTAGGAATTAGACCAGAGACTCTGCACCTAATAGAAGAAAAAGCAGGCCCAAATCTTCTTCATGTTGGCTTAGGACCTGACTTCCTTTACAAGAAATAAAATCAACAATCAATAAATGGGATGGATTCAAATTAAAAAGCTTCTCTGCAGCAAAGGGAACAATCAATAACGTGAAGAGAGAGCCAACAGAATGGGAGAAAATCTATCGCATGGACATCAGATAGAGCAACCCAATCAATAAATGGGCTAAGGAAATGAGCAAACACTTCACAGAAGAAGATATACAGAAGATACACAATGAATCAACAAATATATTTAAAAAATGTTCAACATCTCTAGCAATTAGAGAAATGCAAAACAAAACTAAGATTTCATCTCACTCTAGTCAGAATGGCAATTATCAAGAATTCAAGCAACAAGTACTGGCGAGGATGTGTGGGGAATGGTACACTGATTTCATTGCTGATGGGACTGCAAAATGGTACAATCACTTTGGAAAGCAGTATGGAGATTCCTTAATAAACTTGGAATGGAACCATCATTTAACCCAGTTATCCCACTCCTCGGTCTATACCCAAAGGACTTAAAATTAGCATACTACAGTGATGCAGCCACCTCAATGTTTACAGCAGTTCAATAGCTAAATTGAGGAACCAATCCAGAAGACCTTCAATAGATGAATGGATAAACACACTGTGGTATATATACACAATGGAATATTAGCCTTAAAGAAGAATGAAATTAACGGCTGGGGTTGTGGCTCAGCAGTAGAGCACTTGCCTCGCACGTGCGACGCCCTGGGTTCAATCCTCAGCATGACATTAAAAAAATAAATAAAGATATTGTGTTCAACTACAATTAAAAGTAGAAGAAGAATGAAATTACAGCATTTGTAGGTAAATGAATGGAGTTGGAGAATATCATGCTAAGTGAAGTAGGCCAATCTCAAAAATCCAATGGCCAAATGTTTCCCCTGATAAGTGGAGGCTGATCCATGGGAGGGGGGAGGGGGGGAGACAGGGAAGAATGGAGCAACTTTAGACTGGGCAGAGGCAGGAAGATGGTGGAATGAATCAGACATTATTACCCTATGTACGGGTATGACAGAATGAATGGTGTGACTCTACATCATGTACAACCAGAGAAACGGCAAGTTGTGCTCCATTTGTGTAAAAACAATAAAAGTGGGGGGGCCCTCGGGATGTGGCTCATTGGTAAAGAGCCCCTGGTTTCAATCCCCAGTACTAATAAACAAACAAACAGGGCCGATTTTACTTCCCCAACATCAAATCTGCTCCAAATTATAGTTCTATACAGACTGGTACATACTAGGTTTTATTTTGAGACAAGGTCTTTCTAAATTACACAGGCTGGCCTAAAGCTTGCAATCGTCCTGCCTCAGTCTCCTGAATAGCTGGGATTACAGGTATGTGCCACCACACCCAGCTGTCCTATTTTATTTAAAACCAAAAACCAAAAAGCTCCCATTGAAAGAGTAGGTTATGATGGCACATGCCTGTAATTCCAGCTGCTGTGGCAGCTGAGGCAGGAGAATCACTATTCAAGCTCAACTTGAACAACTTAGTGAGATAGTCTCAAGATTAAAAAAAAAAAAGTTAACGCCAGCATAGTAGAGCATTTGCCTCACATGGTAGCAGAAGCAAGATGATGAAGAGAACATTATCATTTGGATAGCATCATGATCATCATGATAAGACACACACATTTAGCCATTATTGTAGCTCTAAGGCCTGTCACCATCAGAAGTCGACCTGTGGCAGATGTGGTTACCCTGCCAAGGGCAAGAGAAAGTATAACTGGAGCGCCAAGGCAAAATACCACCAGGACTGGTCAAATAAGGCACCTAAAATTTGTAATAACACAGATTCAGGGAGGGATTCCATGAAGAAACTCCTAAACCAAAAGGGCAGCATCCAGTTCATCTTGAGAGTTTCAACAATTAGCCACCCAATAAAAATTCTGGCTTTAAAAAAAAAAAAAAAAAATAGGGGCTGGTGTTGTGGCTCAACAGTAGAGCGCTCACCTCATGTGCGAGACCCTGGGTTTGATTCTCAGCACCACATAAAAATAAATAAGTGAAATAAAGGTATTGTGTCCTACTACAACTAAAACCTAAAAATATAATAATAAATAAAATAGCCAGGTGTGGTGGTGCATGCCTGTAATCCCAGCAATTTAGGAGATTTGAGGCAGGAGGATCACAAGGTTTGAGGCCAGCCTCAGCAACTTAGCAAGCTGATATCTGAAAATTAAAAATAAAAATGGCTGGAGATGTGACTCAGTGGTTAAGCACTACTGTGTTACATACATAAATAAAAACAGAATCTATAGGCAGAATTAATATCATTAAAATGGCCATATTACCAAAAGTACTCTATAGGTTCAATGCAATGCCAATCAAAGTCCCAACAGCATTCCTCGCAGAAATAGAAAAGGCAATCATGAAATTCATCTGGAAAAATAAAAGACCCAGAATAGCTAAAGCAATTCTAAGCAGGAAGAATGAAACAGGTGGTATAGCGATACCAGATTTTAAACTATATTACAGAGCAATAGTAACAAAAACAGCATGGTACTGGTACCAAAACAGGCAGGTAGACCAATGGTACAGAATAGAGGACACAGAGACCAATCCACAAAATTATAACTACCAAGCACGCAATGGAGAAAGGATAGCATCTTTAACAAATGGTGCTGGGAGAACTGGAAATCCATATGCAACAAAATGAAATTAAATCCCTTTCTCTCACCATGCACAAAAGTTAACTCAAAATGGATCAAGGAGCTAGGAATCAAACCAGAGACTCTGCATCTAATAGAAGAAAAAGTTGGCTCTAATCTCTATCTCGTGGGGTCGGGCTCCAAATTCCTTAATAGGACACCTATAGCACAAGAGTTAAAATCAAGAATCAGGGCTGGGGATGTGGCTCAAGCGGTAGCGCGCTTGCCTGGCATGCGTGCGGCCCGGGTTCGATCCTCAGCACCACGTACAAACAAAGATGTTGTGTCCGCCGAAAACTAAAAAATAAATATTAAAAAAAAATTATTAAAAAAAAAAAATCAAGAATCAACAAATGGGACGTATTCAAACTAAAAAGTTTTTTCTCAGCAAAAGAAATAATAAGTGAGGTAAATAGGGACCTACACCCTGGAAACAAATTTTTATCCCTCACACTTCAGATAGAGCTCTAATCTCCAGAGTATACAAAGAACTCAAAAAATTAAACAAGAAAACCAATAACCCAATCAACAAACGGGCCAAGGATCTGAACAGACACTTCTCAGAGGAGGATATACAATCAATCAACAAATACACGAAAAACTGCTCACCATCTCTAGCAATCAGAGAAATGCAAATTAAAACTACTCTAAGATACCATCTCACTCCAGTAAAAATGGCAGCCATTATGAAGTCAAACAATAACAAGTGCTGGCGAGGATGTGGGGAAAAAGGTACACTTGTACATTGCTGGTGGGACTGCAAATAGGTGAAGCCAATTTGGAAAGCAGTATGGAGATTCCTTGGAAAGCTGGGAATGGAATCACCATTTGACCCAGCTATTCCCCTTCTCAGACTATACCCAAAAGACCTAAAAAGAGCATACTACAAGGACACAGCTACATCAATGTTCATAGCAGCACAATTCACAATAGCTAGACTGTGGAACCAACCTAGATGCTCTTCAATAGATAAATGGATTAAAAAAAATGTGGCATTTATACACAATGGAATATTACTCAGCACTAAAAAATATCAAAATCATGGCATTTGCAGGGAAATGGATGGCATTAGAGCAGATTATATTAAGTGAATTTAGCCAATCCCTAAAAAAAAATGCTGAATGTCTTCTTTGATATAAGGGGGGTGACTCAAAACAGAGTAGGGAGGAAGAGCATGAGAAGAAGATCACCACTAAACAGGGACAAGAGGTGGGAGGGAATAGGAGGGAGAAGGGGAATTGCATGGAAGTTGGAAGGAGACCCTCATTGTTATACAAAATTACATATAAGATGGTGTGAGGGGGAAGAAAAAAAAGAAAAATAAATAAATAAATAAATAAAACAAAATTCAGATACATTCCTGCAGTTTTTAAAAAAAATATTTTTAGTTGTTGATAGACACAAAATCTCTATTAGTTTTATGTGGTGCTGGTGAGCAAACCCAGTGCCTCACACACGCTAGGCAAGTGCTCTACTACTGAACTACAATCCCAGCCCTGCATTCCTGCAATTCTTGTTTCAATTATGTTCAATCTCTCAGTACGAACCTCAGTATGACCTCACTGTGCAAAATATGTTTCACATTTCAAGGCACACAGAAGTGGAGCTTCTATTCTCGGGTCTCTTACAGGTCTTATCCCTGTGAAAAAATGAATGATCAATTTCCCAAGAATTATACACAAAATCAACTTTCTCCCTAGGGACCTTAGGCCAAAAGAAAGAAGGGCTCCAAAGCACCTGTTCTTTTCTTTTACCTGTTTCTGTGTGTATGTGTGTATATGTTTGTGTATGTATGTGTTTTCTACATTAGTTTGAGCAGTAGGATCTCTTTAATGGTTTTTAAACATCCAAAGACTAAGGTTCAGTTTCTCAGAAATCCTGGATTACTCATGCAATGTGTGGACCATGTACCTATCTATGGAGATTGGGAATAACTACAAAATACTGGTTTCAGATTTAGCTTTCCACATTGCCTCACAGGTGTCCATGAAACTATGAACAGATAAGGAACATTTGAGCATGATCCTAGGCTAGGTAATAGCTTTTCCCCAGTTGATCCCCAAGATTTACAAAAGACTATTAAAGGATCTGCTGGAAACAATGCCTTAATATTCTAAACTTTTTAAAATATGCAAATAAATCACAGCTATAACTCATGAAAGCCTCTGAGCCCTTTATAAAACCTCTGAGTCCTTTAAATCACTCATCCAGAATCTAGTTAATGATGTTACCAATGGGATCCACTGGGGCCACTTACTCTGCCTCAAAAAAAGCTCCAGGGTCAACATTGAGTTATGGCAGAAAAATAACCTTCATCACTCAAACGTCCTCCCAAATGAGCTCTAGAATCACCACTCAGCACATATGCACACACAACTGAAGATTGCATCAGAGTCAGTTACTGAAATACTCATATATAGCTAGGGATTACAGATGTGTACCACCATCCTATGTATGTTTAGTTTTATAAGAAATTGTTAAACAAATTTCCAAAGTGCTATACCTTTTTGCATTCCTATCAGCTATAGGAAAAGGTGGGGAAATTGCTTAAGCCTAGGAATTTGAGATCAGCCTAAGCAACACAGTAAGACCTCACCTCAGGGGTTGGGGATATAGCTCAGTTGGTAGAGTGCTTGCCTCACCCTGGGTTCAAGCCCAAGCAAAACACACACACACACAGAGTTAATAAGACCTCATCTCACGGTAAAGGGAAAGGGAAAGAGAAAGTCAAGAGGAAAAAAAAAAAAGTTAAAACATACCAGGCATGGTGGCATGCCTGTAATCCCAGCTACTCAGGAGGAAAGTTAAGGTGTCTCAGCAAGATGATACCAAAGAGGGTTGGAGCTGTGGCTCAGAGGTAGAGCGTACCATGTGTGAGGCACTGG